AGCACTGATTACTGATGCAAACCACCTGCTGGGGTTTTAGCTAGAAACTGTACACACTCTTTATGTTACATATGAGTACCTTCTTTCATGTAAATAAATGCGTGGGGATATTTTGTGTTTTTTGTGAGTGTGTGTGTGTTTTTGTGTCTGTATGGTTGTGTCTGTGTGTGTGTGTGTGTGTGTGTGTGTATATTGTTTAAAAAAAAATAGATAGAGCCAAAACCAGTTAAATTTCACATTACTGACGGACTCAAAACTCTTAATCTGCTTGGAAACTATAAACATTTGGGCCTAATTGTTGAGTTGCCTTGTGTATCAATTGTGCTATACACAAAAACTTGCCTTGCCTATTATCTGGGGACACATATGAAATACATATATGTAAATTATGATGAAATGATTGCAAAGTTACTACATACTTTTCAACACTCTCCATGGTTATAAATCAATTGCAGACCACTCAATGCAACAATTGCGACGCTTGTAATCGCAGCGCACCATTCAGCGGTAGTGTGTACACGATCGCACACACCAAACGAGGCCATTTACCTAAGAGCTCTGGCTTTGTTCTGGTTGGTGTGGAGCCGAGGCTGAGTAAACATTGATCTGACTCGGAGACTACAAAGCGGCGACTCCCGGAGGCCTCTGTCGTCATGCTGCAGGTGGAATCAGAGGTGATGGTTCTTTTGTCTCTTTCGCTGATGGAGAGCAGAGAGAGCTGTCAGATCAGAGCCATCACAGACAGAGATGCTGAGGCCAGGGCAGCAGTCTCTGGGGACGGACCCAAAATACTACTTTATATTTAAACGGCACGATTCACCCGTGATAACAGTAACCGCGATGCCACATTTGATACAGGCTTTTCTCAGAACTGTTGGACCGTTGTCACCGCTTTGGGTTTCATGCAACATTTTGAGGAGTTTTTGTCCATTCAGAAAAAGCAAAGCAAGGCAAGTTAAATTCAGTTATTTGTGTAGCCCAGTACAAGACGAAACGAGAAAGTGAACATTAAAATCATACACAGAAATATCCGTGAATCTTAAATGAAGTATGTTTCATAAAAGCAGTGCCTTCCCTTGGTTTAAACAGCAGCAGTAGTATTGATTCAGTTGTCTATCAAGGATTTTAATTAATTGCGTCCAATCAGGAAGCTGTGGGGGCGGGCCTAACTGGTGCTTGGATTAGAAAAATTGTGTGTGCACTGTGCAGACAATCTTTCAGTTATATGTGCAGCTAAACAGATCTGTTTTAACCTGGATTTGAGTATTGTCAGAGAGGCCTGTCTCACATTTTCAGGAAGACTGTTTGAACTGAACTACCTCCATGTTTAGTTCTGACTTTGGGCACCAGCAGTTTATGCTTTTCAATTGAATGGCAACATATTTTCCTAATTTTACACATTTCCAAAACATATAATTATTTTAAATGTAATATATATGAGTAAATTAAACGTTTACTTTTTAGACCTAAATCCCAACAGCAACCGACTCGGGGGACTTCACAAAGTTGTCAATTCGCCAACACAGATCAGAGAACCAAACAGTTTGATCACAGAAAATACAGTGGTCCATGGGGAGTGGGATGACTGATATCTATAAATGTTTATAAATGTTTAAAAAAATATGCATAAATATCCATAATTATCCCATGTTGACATACTGTATCATTGACTTACTAGCTTATCAGATCCAGATTCATTGCATTTGCCATTTGCAGTAAAACCCCCTGTGGTATACATCTGCAAAAGTCCCCAGTGAGCCCAAAACAAATACATAGATAAACAAGACCCATGACACTGCATAGGAGGCCAGTCGAGTGACACTGAGACGTTGAAACCATATAAGTGCGTATTATCAACAGTACAGTTGTAGCTGAGGTTGTCCAGAGCGGAGCGTGGTCAATAGCTGTGATCTATGAGTGGCACGGTCATTGGCGCTGTCGCCGCACCGCTCCTGTTACTTTCTCCACTCGATAATTCACTTTGACAAATGTCTCGCGAGCGAAGTTGTCCTGTGTTCGTCTGAGTCTCTGCCAAATACTCTTTCACCCGTTCCTCGACTCTGCTGTAAGTGCCCTGTATTTCACCCTGCGTTATAGAGGATAAACAGGAGCGTCTGTCAGATGAAACTTAACACAACAATTAATCGTCTGTTGTCAGGTTTTTTTTAAGTCCTTTCAGTAAAGTTTCACGTCTAGTTTTAAAGATCAGTGCCAAAAAGCTCCTTTGGTCATGCATAGTTTAAAAGCATAAGGCAGCCTGTTTCGTTAATACAATATATTCACATAAAGCAGTATTTGTCTTTGCTGTGCCTTTGAAAATGATCCAATATCATGTGAAAAGAAATAGATTAGAATGACTTTTTTTTGCATTTGTTTTAGTTCTATAAATAAAAAAACTTTGATGAGAACGACTTAAGGTGTGCCATGGCTGAAAATGGTTGGAAAACACAGAGACAAAGAGTTGTTTTTCTTTCTGCCTCCTCCGCTTAAGTGTCTTTCCTGATAAATTCTTTAACAGTATACTTTCAATCTGGAGAGACTGCAAAAGACAAGATGTATTAAAAGATTTATTGATTGCAAGTTTGGTTGTAGGCCCCGGCTGTGGCCTTGCTCTGTGAGGATTGAAGCTTGAGTGCGCATTATGATCATGGGGCCTAAGAACTGGTGGTGGCAACGGGGCAAGGTGGATGAGAGCGTGCGATGAAATCCCTGAGGAGGAGGTGGTTGCGGCTTGAAAGGGAGTTTGGAGTGCGGTGTCCAGCTTTTACACGCTGGCCTGATTGGCACAGTTGGTCTGGGAGTTGACAAAGCTAATGTGATAGACCGAGGAAGGAAGGGGCCGGCCTCGTGCGATGATGTGGGTATAGTCTACCAGTCTGAACTTCCACTTAAGCTGCATTTGTGTTAACCCATAAAAATAGCTCAAAGGCTTTTACTGGTACTCACAATTTGATACATTTTGAAGTTTGTTGTGATTCATGGGAGAAGGCTATTTTCAGTCACTGCTATTGGTTCATCATATCTCAGAACTTTCAACGGTTGGCAATAGAGCATTCATATATTCAGTGTATGTACTGTATATATTGAAAGCCAATTGATGCATCTTTAATTATTGTCTGAACATATATTTTACCCAAACTTTACAAAACTATATTCATATGAAATCACAAAACCATTTTCAACTCGTCTATTTCATCTTTGTCTCTTTGATATCCTCAGTGCCATTAGTAAGTAAGTATTTTTATCTACCATCACCATTGCTACAAGAACATGTAACAGTATTGCATTTCAGAAGGTCCAGGGTTCATATCCCCGTCTGACCAGGCATTCCTGAGTCAAGTTTGCATGTTCTCCCCATATCTATGGGGTTTCCTCCTGGTGTTGTCTACCTCTAAAAACATGTACAATACGTAAAGTCCTCCAGACAAAAAAATTCCCTTCGGAGACAATAAAGTATGCATACTGTAATTGTTATGGCAGCACATTATAAACACACACACACACACACACACACACACACACACACACACACACACACACACACACACGCACACGCACACGCACACATACAATAGCAGCATGAAAACTGATGTCAAAGCTATAAAGAGAAAATCATTAGTCAAGAAGTGGTATTAACCCCTCGCATTTGACCCCATTTTGTTCCATCCCATTCTCAGCCGCACCTCCGAGGCGTCTCCAGGAGATCGCGCAATGAATACTAATTATCGGGAAAAAAACATGTTGAAAACGCATACATGAATTCATTCCCCCTAAAAAAAACTTGATGCTGAATGTGCGCTGGAGACTGTGTGATTTGCTGGCGCTGACTTCCAGAAGGGAGGGAGGCGTGTGCGCATTGACGAAGAGCTCCCAGTAAGAAAAAGGAGAGAGAGAGGAGAGCAGAGGAGAGGAGAGGAGACGGCAGCCTTTTCCCATCCCTGCCCGAGATCCAGACAAGCGGCGACTGCAGGAGTCAGAGCAGAGAGCCACCAGGATGCACTAAAACATTTGCCACGAGCTGCGAAGACCATTGATGGGAATGAACCAGACCAAAGGGAGGAGAGCTGCGTTTGCCTCTATCCTACACCCACACCCGCCAAATGTGCGATGGGACTAAAAAAGACAGACTGAGAAAATAACTGGACCACATTTTTTACGGAGAGAAAGGGATAGATAACGTGGAACAAATCATGCTGAACATTACGCTGCATTTTTTGGAATCGTAAAAGCAACAGGAGTGTCCATTCTGATTACGCACTGGCACGCATGGTGACATCTGAGGACTTTCTTTTAACGACATGAAATATGCTGCTCGGGTTGTGTCTGTGGGTTTGTGACGAAATTCTGGATGATCTTTGGAATCCCTCCGCTCCAGTCTGGGGGCGGCTCACCCTCCCTTCTCACTCAGAGGCTATTTGAAGTTATTCGTTATCCCTTTTACGCCTGCCTGTTTTTCTTCTTTTGAGTCCATTCGGTTTCCACGCTGCTTCATCCTTCGCATCCTAATCCGCTTCACACTCTTTTGGCAGCGTCTCCAGCAGTCTCCCTGTGCCATCTGTGTCAGAGCTCGTTCCCCGCGTGTTTGTCTTGTCCCTGAAAGGTGGACAGGTGTTCGCTTTTGTGCGTAACTTGGCACGGGCACGTATATATATATGTAAACGGATTTTAAGACCCCTTTTGAATCATTCCACCGGATCCTCGATATTGTTACTGCGAGTGCATTTTTAATACATATCACAGCTATCAATAATTCACATTTAGGTGGGCCCCCGATGCAGCCAGCCTTGATTAAGACTCAGTGCGACGGTTTGATGACATATCGCGTCACTCAACGCTGACAAATGATGTGTCGCTTTTGCGCGCGTAACAGCTGAGCCCACATCCAGCTGCTGCTCCTTACATCAACTTCAAATCATCTCATATTTTTGTTGTTGTTGTTGTAATTCTCCTGTGAGGCTCGTCAAGGGACACGCGTGTGTAATAGCCTCCAGTGTGTGATCATGATCGGTGTGAACAGTCTGCACTCCGCGGGGCGCCTACGCTCCCGCTCCCTCTGCACCGTGCGCTACGGAAGAGACTTTCGGATGATGGACCCCTTCAGATACCCCAGGACCCCGCGCTCACGCTCACTCAAACCACTCGTGTTCCCGGATCTCCTGGGGAAAGCTCAGGACGGACAGGACCACCCACAGGCCAGGAAGAGGAGAAAGGTATGATGGAGTCAGAATTCTTATCATTACCTTCTGTAATTAAGCACTTTCATTTCTGTGATTTCTTTGATTGTTCAAGTTCTGTTCTTGGCCTTATATATTACACCTTTACTCCAGAGTTGGGTATTTAACCTATAGCCTGGATGCTAAAAATATACTATTACAGAAGCATCGAGATTAGGTTATGAGAGGGTTATGCAGAATGTTTGCTGCGGATGACCCAAAACTTTTCAACAAACCCATAGCCTATTAAAAGTCTTACAACACCAAGGACTAAACTGTGAAATAAAGTCAAACCAATAACTGTTAATGGGAAGATTGCAGCCAAGCTAATTGTGGCATTAATCCCTAACACTCGATCCCATTCTGTTTAATTTCACTGCCATCCACTTTCCAAAAGTTGAAAACCAATGCATACTAATGAGAGAATCCTATTGAAGTTGAAAGTTGGTGTAAGTTTGGCGGACAACAGGCAGTGGTTGTACTTATATTTAACCATGGGAGTGGTCAGAGTGGCTTCATATGAGGCTGAGCAGGTGATGTGAGCGTGATAAAAGAGGAGGAGGAGGATTTCTGATTGTTGTAAATGGTTTTTCACATTGATTCAATTCAATTTCAATTCAATGTATTCCTGTATAGCCCTATCACAACAGTAGTCGTCTCATCTTGTCTATAAATCAATCTTGTCTGAATGCAACTTGACTGATCTTGCCTTTAACCAACTTGTATTTGTTTTTGTATTTCTCTGATACCCATTAGTCCTCATAAGTCCATATTCTTCCTGGGTTTCAAATGGAAGTGGATTGATCTGAGAATTTACATATTTTTCTTTTTGTGAATATTTGATGTCGTTGCAGTTTTTTGTCTCACTCGGATCGGGCGGACTGGTGCTCTTTTCTGGAAGTACAGAAAAATCACATTAAAAAAATCTTCAATGGGTTTACCGTGTTGCATGACCTGCGTAGGGACACGGCTCGACCTCATTTTCGAAAAGGATCTCTATCAAAATAAATGAAACGCCATGGAGAAATGGAGGAGATATACGAACGATTGCATATAGCGGTAATTACTGTGCAAGCTGCAGGAGATGATGTCCTTTTAATTGCGTTAAGAAAAGTCAATTGGATTATTTTATCACAGCAGCATCAAACGAGAGATAGATACGATTTGCAGTGATTTACAGTTACCAGCTCAGGCACAAGTTGTTCACTGTATAACTTTGAAGTTTGTTTGAGGGCGGGTCATAATGAGAATATAGAAATTGTTGTTAGAAGCTTTTGGATGAAAATAATACAATAGGAAATATGTGGGGAAAGTTCAAGAATCGTGTTTAAATCAGGCATAATTTAGATTAAAGGGGGCAGAGAGCAAGAGGCTTAAAGCTGAGGTACATACAGTAACAAAATGTGATTGTCCCAACAGAACGATTAGCTGAGAGCTGATTGGCTGAGTGAGGGTGGTCCTCTCTGTTTCACTTTTCTGTCTGAAAAAGCTGATCTACATTTTCTATGACAAGTGTTGAAAAGTAGCGTGGTCTTGCTATAACACTAAAGTCAGGGCATCTGGTCCGTCTAATGTAACTGTTGTGTACATATAGAAAAATAATAAAAATAATAATAATGAAAAAATACAGAGGCCAAAAAATACATGCTTGTTAAAACTAGTTACAGAACCAAACAACTTTGAGAACCAGTTAGAAATATTGTATTGTATGACTCTTTGTGGTATGAAATATAATAGCCTAGCTTTAAAGTTACGCTGTAGTAGAGTTTTAACAGCCATATTGTGCAAAATTGTTAACAGCTTTTCACCATTTGTTCAGTTTTCTCTTTCCCTTTCTGTGCTCATCATGTTTGTGTAATATATCAATAGTTCATTTGCCAAAAGTGCCTTTTAATAAAATAATAATAAAGAAGAAATTCTGAGGTATTTACAGTTGTTGTTCCCAGTCTCATCCAAATGAAAAGATAAAAATAAAAACCTAATTAAATATTTAAAAAGCTTTCAATTTGCTTGTAACCAAGTAGATCTTATACAGTGCCATTTAAATAACGTCTCACCCCTTATTGAGCAAATTCTGTCAAATCTACTGCTGATAACAAAACATGTTGGAGATGTTTTTAAGAGGAAAACTACTTTTTGACACATATATTCAAAATGGAGATATATGTAAGACCTCATTGCTCCATCTTCCCCCGCTCTCACCAGCACCGACACACCCACTGGTTTCACTTTCATTGTATACGTAAAGAAAAAAAAATAACAAGGAAATAGAAAAGCAATGATTCAGACGCCTATAGGCATTTTGACACAACATGTTTTTTTTCTTTTTAATAGTACGAACAGAGTCGGTTTCACACTTCCAGTCTCGTAGTGGCGTACTGTATCTGCCCGTGAGGGAAGCAGCAGTGATGGAGTGATGACGAACAGCCCTTGAGTGTCCTCTCCATCACCTCCACTGTCACAGCTGTCCATCAGTCTGCGTCTCTCCCAACACGACTGAAGGCTCCATGCTGTCTCCACTCCCCTTGCACCCATCACTCCTTTGTCCTCTCCTCCTCCTCCTCTTCCTCCTCATCCTCATCCTCATCCTCGCACTCCGGCCTCCTGTCCCCGTCGCTGTGCAGACCGGCTGCGAAAGTGCCGCCACACCATCACATTCAGCCGTAATGTCAGTCACAGCTCGCAAGCGTCGAAAGGTCTTGATTGTCTCACTCCAAATGTGCACCGAGCCGTTCAATGACATTTGCTTTATCTCATCGGATCTAAAGCGTTGTGTTTGGGAAGTTTGCAGACAGGTGTGTGGAAGTTATGTGGACGTGGATTGGGTTGATCCAAGTATGCACACCAACAACAACAAAAACTATTTATCATTTGTTATATTCAAGAAGGCATGGGAGGGTTTGACAAGGCCCAAAAGATTCTCTGAACGACTGTATATCAGGGGGCTCCAACCTGTTGCTCGGGAGCTATACCAGTAGCTCACCAGCCCCTTTCGGGTAGCTCCCCAATGGACTTATAATTTAACAAATGATCTTGAATGAATACATTTTAAATCATTACAAATCAATCAAAGTATAAATATAGGGTTTTACAGTATTATCAGAAGAATCAGAATCAGAATCATTTTTATTGCCACGTAAGTAACAGGAGGTCACAGACTAGGAAATTATGGTATATTTAGATGTTCTCTATGTTTTGTCCTACATAGATTTGTTATTACTACTGCAAAAAGGAGTAGCTCTCTGCCTCTTTTGTTGCCCTAAAAGTAGCTCTCTGATTGAAAAAGGTTGGTGACCGCTGTTGTATATGGTGCTGAGATTTGAGGGAAAAAGGAATTATGGGTCTTATTAGGGGACTTTAACCCTTTAATGCTTTCCTCAACCTTTTGAGTCAATATAAATCTACTTTGGAACCAAAATATGAACCTATTCGGGGCATCTCACTTGGTTTTAGGCACTTTTACAATCAAACTGCATCATTTAATAAAATATAGGGGTTAAAAGATATATAGTGCTCCTACATTTTATCCAAAAAAGAAAAAAATTGCTTTCTTCAAGGACTGAATTGCTATGAGAGGTATGAAGAGATCAAATACATTCCTGGTTATTGACTTTGTTTATGGCAGGATGGACAAATGGTATGACCCGAAAAAGTCAGTCCGTTAGTGAACTGTATCTGCTTTTATTTTCTCACAAACTCAGTGAAATGCAAAAGTTCTGTTCGTACCGTAAGACATCCCAGCCTCACAGACCAGGAGGATGGGACAGAGACCGTGGGCTTTTTCATACACATAGTCACAAGTGCATTCACATTCAAAGAACCAAGAGCTTTATCAAAACACAACAAACAATTGCACACTCCCTACATGGCTCTAAAGCACTTTTTTGTTAAACTGCTCCCAATGGCCCCATGTCATGTTCGGTATATTGCATCTTTTCAATTGGCCTTAATAGTTCCCCTACTGTCCTAAAGTGCAGTTAACATTGTGCCGTAAGATAAAGTGGTTTTAATGCCATTTGTATCACAACTTATTTTGCTTCTTTATAGAAATGGATGAAGGACTAAACCATGATTTGAACCTATTTGTACCCATTGCTCCTTGGTGCTCTAACGTACTGTCCTATTTGTGTGCTGCAACACCGACATTTCCCCTCACTTCAAAGCTTCTCTTAGGTCAATGTCAGCTTCATATTTACACCTGCTGCCTTCAGTCCTTCACAGGCACAAAAGATACAAACATAAAATATACCATGTATCCACCCAGTCTCATTCCAAGATATAAGTGAATTTTGGATTTACACCTTAACTGTAAGATTGTGTGCTTCATGAGAGTTATTTTAAAAAATTGTTGGTGCATTAAGTGAAACCTGTATACATTTGAAAAGAAAGTAATCTTTATCCACAAATGGGCTGCAGGTTTTGATGTAATTTAACCAAGAGCTACCAAGACGACTGCTTTAACTGGTCACAACAGAATTTAATGTAGAGGTGTTTTAACGCACCACTAAACTTTGTGATGACAAAGTTTTGTAAACAAATATTTCAAATCTGAGGAAGCCATTTTGACGATAAAGGTGAGCCCTATAGCTTCTAAAACTTGATGGGTTTGAGTCAAAAGTCCATAAACTTTTTTGACAGTCGCCCAACTCTATAACAATAAAAATACATTGGCCACATCAAGGCCAGGGTTCAAAGAAACTGAAAAAAAGTGCCGGATTATAGTAAAGCTATGATGTTGACTAATAAAACATACCGTGCATTGAAATGAAACTTGTGCAATATATATAAATTGGATATTATTATATATTGATCAAACTGTACATACTGAAGTTTAGAAAATGACATTATAGTAAGAATATTATTATCCGTGCAGTCTTTTTCTCACAGCGTTGCCAACTTTCCTCCAACTTTTGTGGCCATAAATAATAGATTCTTTCTTTGTCCCAGTTCAGAAAGAAGTCTTTTTCAGCAGCAGATCGTACAATACAATCAAGACCATAAACCGTCAATGTAATTATTCGTAATGTGCTCCAGATCGCTGTGTACTGTAAACAATAGATCATTATTTCTGTCCTTTTAAAAAAAAAAAAGAAAAAATCTATTTTAGTTTCAATGAAAATATCTCTCTCTGTGTAACGTGATTGTGCCCTGTGTGGATCATTAAGTCGATGTCGAGGTTTAGATTATTTATTGATCGCCACATCTGTCTATTGACGTTTGGGGAAAAAGCAGGTCTCTAACCAAAGGACTGGGAGCAAAGTGGAGGTGATGGATGGAGCCTCTGCTGTCAACAAAATGAATCTGCTTGAAGTCATTTGGACTGGAGCAGCAACACTCAGTACAGTTCCCTTGAGAAAAACTATCTATATGATCAGGAAGAACATTTAAAACTCAACGGAATCAGCTTTGACGCTAATTATAGCTTTATCCTTACAATCTGTGACATGTATGGTATAGCTCGACATACATACTTATACTTATACATATTTTATTACTTACTCAAATGTAATCTTTCCAAATGATTGTGAAAGGATCTCCAGTCCCGTCATTTTATACTATGCTAAAGATAGAGATTTTACTTTTTTCTTATTCATGCGAGAGTTGGAGATTTTGATGTTATTGTATTTAGTGTATAGTTGTGCTGTGTGCTCCTCATTCCTACTGTTCTGTAACTGGTCATGCAACACTGACATTTCCCCACTGTGCGACAAATACAATCTCTTGATCTTTAATCTCTAAATCTCATAGTAAAATATCTTTGACGTGTTTACTGCAGGGACTAATAGGTTTTTTTAAATTATTTTTTTGCTAATACTTGGCAGATATGTTGTATTTTTGACATGTTTTTTACTGCTGTTGTTGCAAGACTGATGTGTTTTGTCCTTTGTCCTCACGTTCGGCGCCCAGCTGCCGTTTCCATCGATCGCTTCATCACTTAATCTCACTGTTGTCTGTTTTGGTCCTTTTCAGGCGCTGTACAACTCAATCAAGAACCAGAAGCTCCAGTGGACTCTGTAAGTTCTGCTCTCTTTGCTCTTTGTCCACTCAGCCCCAGCTTTGGTTTCGTCTCCCAATCGCGTTCACTTCATAGACACAAACATAACGACATACACGTCCGTTGTCCTGAAAAGACCAAGAGGATATTGATTAAGTTGTTAGCGTCCTCATTAATGACGTGAGCGTTGTCTGGCATGTGAAGGAAACATTATTGTGTCAAGGGTTGCTATTCTCGCACAGCACATCCAGAGTGCGCCTCCGAGATGCCAATTAAGTCACTCGTTTTCCAAGCCTCTGTTTCTATGGAAACGGCACCATAGCTACGACTCCATGGCTACCGCATCTCCCTCTTTCCCATCTCGTGTGTTACACTAGATAAACTTTCACATATATGAGTTAGAGGCCACCGGCTTTACGTAATGGTGTGCGAGCGTCTATCTGAAGCCTCTATTGTTACTCGAGTTCAGGGAGTCTCAAAGTGTGGTCCTCCAGAGCCTCCGTAGTGGTCCGCAGGAGAATGATCAGACGCAATCTCCTTTAATTCCTACTGTTTCTGGACTTTTCTGATGTAAACTCGGGCAGTGCATACCCCACTTTTTTATTGAGCGCCTGAATGTCATAAATAGACAAACTAAACCTGTGCAGATTACAGTGGGCAAGACAGAAGCAAGAAATGTGGGACTACCCCCTTTAATGCACATCACCTGATCAGCTAGGACCTTCATAATCCATCTACACTCAAATCTGTCAAGTAGCTTTTCTTAATTATCCCGAAATATCCAAAATATACAGTATAAGAAGTTTTGAGGACAAATCTGTTTGTTTGATTAAGGACATTATTAAAAAATCTTTCACATCTTTCACTTGTTTTCCCGTTATTCTTTCCACTGTTGGATAATGTTCTGCTCTTGCACAGAAATCGTGAAAAGAAAGTTTCAAGCAACAATATACAAATGAGAGAGAGAGAGAGAGAGCTCGGTCATTTACCTGTGTGTCCTAATGTCGCCCACTGCTTTTCCAAAAATATCTCCTGCCCGGAATAAAAGTGGACAGAGGCGGAGATCTTCAGGGATGCAGACCTATAGACAGTTATTCATCCTGCCCATTTATTATCATTATAGTCACAATGCTTTCCTTTGATTATTTTCAAAAACGCATTGGCACGATTCACCGCTTTCACACCTTTGCTTTGCTGAGAATTTTTATTTGTTTCACCTATTGATTGCAATTCAAAGCCAACTTTTTAATGGTTTATCCACGATCTATTCTAGGCTATATCCACACGAAGACAAAACGCTTATAATTTCAGAAACTTTTTCTGTAAACACGGAGTTAGCTCAGTAAATGTGTGCGTCCATATGAATGTAGTCAATACGCCTGAAAACGCTGTGAAACTATGCCAGACCTGTTGGTGGCGCTGTGACGCAATGACGGGATCAAGCCCAAACTTCCGTGGGCATGCGCGGAATTTTGTAAACAGACAACATGGCGAGTGGGCGAGCTGGTACTACATTAGTATGGACGGACGATGAGGTTGAACTGTTGCTTCGGGTCACACTGGATTACAAAACCAACAAGCTACATTGTTGTTGTCATTATTTTCTGAGTGCGGCGCATGCGTGCTTTAACAAGAGGCGGGGCGATGACGCAAGCGTCTCAGATACATTGCGGAGAGGCAGTAACCACGGAGCGGCATATACGGAGTTTTGAAATCTTTCCACTCTGGGACCTACTTTCAAAAATGTTCGTTTACACCCCCCCAAAACGCCGGCCTCGTATGGACGATACACTGGATTGATAAAGTATTTTTGCGTTTAGGCCTGAGCTTGACTTCGTGTGGACAGGGCCCTAGACTGTTGTGCGTTTTCCATAATCACCATTACACTATCTGTATCACTATATATATATGTTTTATGGTAAATTTTTAACTGATGCAGAATGAATGAAATGTTGTGAATGGTAAAGTGTTGTGTGGTTGATTGAGAACAGATGGATGCACTTTCATTCAATTCAATTCAATTCTGTGTATTCCTGTATAGCCCTAAACCACAACAGTACTTTTCTCGGAGGACTTTACAGAGCTGTCGATTTGACAGAATTAGAGAATCAAACATTTTAAACACAAGAAATCCAATGATAAAAACACACAGAGCCATTGGTTCATAAGAGGCAGATGATTAATGTCCATAAATGTTTATACATGTCCATAAATGTTGTTGAATGTCAACATTTATGGACATTTATCATAATCGTATTGTATATTCAATCAATCAATCATTTATTTTTATAGCACAATTTGTGTACAAGGAAATTCAAAGTGCTTCACAAGAGAAATTTATAAACACGCTGAAAATGCATTAAAAAGTCAATAAAAAACAATTCTTTCATATTAAAAGAGAGCAGCATAAAAGTAAGGGGTTCAAAACACATTAAAAAGTGGGTTTAAAAAGGGAAATAAAAGTAATAAGTAGTTCAAAATAGAATCAGTCAGTCAATTGAATATTATAGTTTTTTTCTTTGTAACCAGGGACGACAGATGGATCCAGTTATAATCTGGTGCATATCTGTCCCTATGAGCTTAAAGGAGCAGTACGTAAAAATCTGGTCAAAAGTGGTACTGCAGCCTCTGCCACTCTACCTGACTCAGGTTGCCAGATATGACGAATCCAGCTGGGACCATAACAGCTGAATAAACAAGAGTTTTGTCAACAACAAATCTATAACCAACACTTTTTTTACAAAGGCCCCCATAGAAATGCTTGTTTTATTACTTTTTGTTGTTACTTTACCAGTGATATTCTGCCATTATTGCCTTTTGACAGGTTAGGGCCCTTTAATGATGACTTGACTTGAAAATCTTACACATTGCTACTTTAATGTCTCTGTACACTGCCTTCAGTAAGATCATTAACAATAATCCCAACAACACTCTTAGAGGAGGTGTGATTTTAACCTCCAAAACCTTTAAATGAAAACAGGCTTGTAACAGGTGTGCTTCTGTGTAGGTGTGCGTTGAGTTTTTGTTCTCTCTCTGATGAAAAAAATAGATTTAAAAAATGGATAAATAACAACACAAAAGACAAAACACAGCAGCACAACTTAGTTCACACCCCCACAGAGAAACACACGCATATGGACAGTCACAGCAGCGCAGTTGGAGGCACCCACATGTCCTCTTCTCCAACAGGACACACTGCATTCTACATCCTGGTTTTGTAGGCGTGGGCCGGAGCAGAAGGTACAAGAGTGGATCGGGAAAGGAGATGCAAAGTTATAGACACCACATTAACGAATACATACATCTTATTATTGTGATGATGGCCGTGGTGATGATGATGATGCACTGAATAACAGCTAGCCCCATCTGCTAATCCCCCCATAATATCATACAGCAGGGAGCACAGCGGGAAGGAGACAGCGTGCCAGTATTCCATCACACATGTATCATCAGTAACCGTTTTTGACATGTCCTACAAAAGGCAGGGCGTCAAACATTTCGCTCAAAACTCTGATGTGATGCTGTAACTTGGCGAAACCACATTAAAAGTGCGTGAAAGAGGTATTGTTATAGATGCGCGGGAAAAAAAATAAACAAAACAGCGGAACCTTTCCAAAATAGCACAGATTCTCCAGTTGCATTCCTCATTAATATGACACGGTCTCTTGCATACTTCCTATCTCGTGTTTTGTTGTTAGCGCTATCATATTTTTTTCTGTTCTTTCGTCTCCCTCCATCCCCCCTCTTCTTCTCCTCCACTTGTTTCTGTGTAGAATGGGACCCAGTTACCAGGCAACAGGCTGCGTGCTCATTGGTGCAGCTTCGTGTTTCTCTCCTGGCTCCTGCATGGGGTTAACTGCTGTTATGTTACTGTTGGTTACTCAGTGTGGTCTCCAGGGAGGGGGTCTCGAGCATTCAACCATTTCTGCTATTCTCGGGATGAACTTTTGCCATAGCTGCTGATGTAACGTGTGGATTTGCCGTTTTTATTGATTCGGTTTTGAGTGATTCTGGAATAATAGGTCTATGAGTCTACAATAAAAAGTCAAATAAACAGTCAACAACGTGCACCGTAGGTAAGAATCCTCCAGCTCCGGTCGTCCTGATCTGGAGATGGCAAGATTCCCTGGTGCAGGATGAGCCAAATGCAGAGGACGTATATAAAGTGTACCTTAAACCCTTAAAAGTGAGATCATTATTTATCATATCTTATAAAAGTGACATTTGGAGGCGTTGGTTCAATCTGCTTCACAAAGAAGGCCTGTGATTGCTTCATTGTTCACCTTTAGATATCTTTTCATTATCCATTTGATACTAACCTATAATGTATACAGTGGTTCTTGTCAGCCTGTGAAACCCTGATCCTGTCTGACCTCAGAGGCTCAGCAGGGCAGGGCCTGGTTAGTGCTGAGATGGGAGACCTCTGAGAATACCAGGTGTGGTGGCTGTAGTGCAAAACTGTCTGTAGTGTAAAAGATGCCTCGCTTCTGTCAGTCCGCCACAGGGCATCTGTGGCTTTAGTAGGGGTTTAATACCACAGTGTATGAAGTGAATGAATAATGCCAAGGTGTTGAGGTTCATGAAAAGTAAGCGCATCACAGGTTCAAATCCCCTCTGTTCATGTGTGTGGGTCCTGTACTGACGCTAAATAAACGTTTTCTCCTTCTATACTATACTCGTATTCATACAATAACTGAACAGCACATTCATGGAACTCTTTAACCAAAGCTAATGGGATTAAGTAAATACAGTATGAGATGCCAAACTGATATGGCAGTCTGTGTAACAAAGACTGATGCAGACAGTTCACTTAAGCACAAAATGCAAAGCAGTTCATCAAATTTCTCATTTTAAAACATGGCTCCTTGATGGTTTGTAACGAGCGGTGTGCGCGCCCTGCAGGAGACAGTCTGCGCCCAGGATTTAAGCTTAGCAAACACTTTTGGAGAGTGCTGGAGTCTGACTGAGGTGTGAGGAGGAAGAGCTGCGGCCCCCTGGGTAAAGATGGCCCTGTTATACTTGCCTCAAATCAGGTTAAGAGTGTCATTCTGCTGCTGAGGTACTTTTTGATCGAGTTCTGGACAGGAACAAAAACTTACAGGAAGCAGGATGCAACTTTGAACGGTCGATTGCGACGCAGCCTCGACGACTTTGCTTTGTAAATGAATTTTCAAAGTTCTGTCCAGGTTTGTCATTACTCCGGCAGTTTCCATGAAGTTTGCAGTGATGTATTACTGTATGTGTGTCGGGTCAAACTATACTTTTTCCAGATCATCTCAAACACTGTTGCCAAATATAGACAGATCCATTTATTATTGGAGTAATTTATTTTACACCCTTCGAAATCACATTTTCCAATACTGGGACATCCCTTGTTAAAATAATTTTGTTTTCGTCATTGACGTTCCCAGCTACAAAGATATATGTTTTTATTCATTCAAGATTCAAGAATGTATTTGCCATTTGCAGTAAAACCACATTGGAAAAACTGTGCCGGACTCCCCCTGTGTGCACCTACAGCACACACCAGAGCTCTTCCCACGGCGCCACACGATTGTTTTAATTTATTACCTTTTAAACAATAGTTCGTTACCAGCATGTAGAAAGTCTGTGGTTTTGGCCTGGACTAATGCATCTTTTCTACCACTACTTTCTATCTCTATTCCTTCAATTCAGGACGTACAGCTGTGTTTAAAAGTTCACACACAGGAGATTATGACTGATTACATTTTTTCTGCTCATTGTTAGTGGTTGTTCGAATCAGAAGTTTCCATACCCCTGTTCCAAATTCCCCTTCCCATGTTCAGCTTGGAGTATTTTCTAGTAGTTGTGGTTGAGGTCCTTCATCTTCTCTGATCGTAAAGCTGCCCATTCTTCTTGGTGAATAGCCTCCAGTTCATGTATATTCCTGGGCTGCCTTGCATAAGCTGCACATTTGGAATCTCACTGATGCTATTATTGCAAATTAGCCTTTTTTTACCTTCACACATCCACTGACAACAGCGAGCCATGAGCCAGTGAGGTTGATGAGTTATCATTCATAACACATTAAAAGATATGGCCAAAACAATGGAATCTCTGGCTTTTAGCTGTAAAATAATAATAATAATAATAAACTATGATCAAATGGACAGAACGATGATGATGATGATGATGATGTGTTTGGTGCATCGCGAACGAGACGTGACACATAAGTGCTAAGTCCCGCTAAGAATCCGTGCCTTTGTCTCCATAGCGACGAGGAGGAGCTGCGGAAGTCGTTCTCGGAGCTCGGGGACAGTCTGTGTGAGTCGGACGCCACCAGACCCATCCGGCGAGTGGACAGCAGCGGGAAGCCCCTGGAGGAGGCCACAGAACCCTCCGGAACGCTGCTGTACAAGAACGGCTTCCTGGTCCGGAAAGTGCACGCCGACTCAGACGGGAAGAGAAGTACGAAACAGTCTGTGGTTTTAAGTGTGGTTATTATTATTATTGTTATTATTAAACTTTATTACAGACATGAGATCCACAAAGAATACATAAATAAATACAATAAATGATAATAATAAAAAATAAAATAAACACAAAAATACAATAAATGATAATAATAAAAAATAAAATAAACAAAAAAATAAATAAATACAATAAATGATAATAATAAAAAATAAAATAAACACAAAAATTAATAAAAATTAATAAATAAAATTAATTGGGGCAGTGTCAAATATATATTGGGTGTTACAGTTGTTGTGTGGAGGATTGAAAAGTGAGTTTAACTTGACACACGTTTACATTTTACTGTTGGACCAAATAGTAAAATAACGGAAGATTTTTCTACAACAGCTCCTAAATCCAGAAATGTAAATTCAACCTGGTTTTTCACAAGGTATTCTTACATATTTTCTTTTAGATTCAGATTAATTTTTGGTTGTCATTTACAGTTTAAAACCATATTGGAAATTTTTTGCCCCCCATTTTGTGCCTTGTTTTTATTTATTTGTTATTGATTTTTGCAGTCAACCATCTCCTCTATTGTTCTAGGGCTCCACCTTCACGATTCTTCTCTTCTTTATTCTCTGATGTCGTGTGGTACTATGAAGTAATTCTACGTCCATTGAGTTAATGAACACGCACTGGTTTGTTTTTGCTAACAGCTCCCAGAGGAAAGAGAGGCTGGAAGACTTTCTACGGCATTCTAAAAGGGCTCATTCTTTACCTGCAAAAGGTAAGTGTCTTAAAATATGAACATTTTCTAAACATATGCAGAGGTAATGTAACCCTGACCCCTCACACCACTATCATGCTGTGTTTCAGGGGGAGTACAGGCCTGATAAGCAGCTCTCAGATGAAGACCTTAAAAATGCAGTGTCCATCCATCACTCTTTGGCCTTGAAGGCTACAGACTACAGCAAACGGCCCAATGTCTTCTACCTCCGCACCGCAGACTGGAGGGTCTACCTCTTCCAAGCACCGTAAGGAACTCATGTGGGCTTTGCTTTCCTCTGGCGACCCCCGTGTTCACAAGTCGGCACGGTGGTGGTTAGCACTTCACAGCAAGGTGCTGGATTTGATTCCACCTGTAGGTCTGTGTGGAGTTTGCATATTCTCCCTGTGTTTCCTCCGGGTGGTCCGGTCTCCCTACCACTAAATACATGTACAGTACAATAGTCCCCCATAACAGCTTAATGGGACTTTCTTGGTTTAATAAAAATCAATAATATGAATAATAAGTCTATTCTAGATAAATATTGAAATTTGAAATGTTAATAATACTTAATGAAGGAGTAATTTACTTTCCCTATATTAGACAATTGCAATAGATATTATTCCATTGCATTTAACTATCTATATAATCATGCCAGTGATTATCCACCTCCAGAAAAGTGACTTACTATTGCTTTAAATGACTTCTCACATTTATGGAAGTCAGGGCAAGAAATGAATAAAGCAGTCTGACGTCTGTATTTGCTGCTGCACTTCATCTGCGGCAGACTGTGAAAAGTAGATCAGGGAGGGAAAAAAATGTGTATCCCATGAAGCAGAGATGAACCCTTGTCCCAGAGTGACACCACAAGGTGACTGCTCAAGCAGAGAGTCCTCAGGCCCCGTCTGTGCACGATCATGTAACACATTCTGTGCTGCTGCTGCTGCTGCCGTATATATACTGATAATGAACATGATACACAACGTCTTCATCCGTCTATGAGACCGTACGCATGCAGCACAGTGACATGACAGGTAAGTGGCCACACGTTCAGGCCCCTGGAGGACACTCTGCCTGCTCTAGTTGCAGCTCGCATTTGTCCCACATACTGGTCCCGCCCCCTCTCTCTCTCGCTTCCCTTCTGTCCATTGAATCAGGTTTAGTTAACACTGATATTTCTCATAAACCCCTAATGGCAATGTTGTTTGAAACCGGCCTTTTCTCCTCTGCATTAATTGCTTCCCAAATAATTCCTTTGTCGACTGTGAGGCTGCGTGCCCCGATAATGATCCTTTTGATGTAAAGGCCTGATGTGTGCCCAGGCTACATGGAGCTAACTGATAAGAGGTTTGTTTGCTAACTTGTTTTGTGTGGCTCTTTGTGGGTGTGTGCAGAAACGCAGAGCAGATGCAGTCGTGGATCACTCGGATCAACACGGTGGCTGCCATGTTCTCGTCTCCACCGTTCCCCGCGGCCATCGGCTCCCAGAAGAAGTTTAGCCGCCCTCTGCTGCCCGGCACCATGTCCAGACAGACCGAGGTAAAGGAAACACAGCATTAACGGCCTCTGACGGGCTCCTGAAGCAAACACACACACACACAGAACCCATTGATCTTCTCTGCACAACTTCTACTCAGATCTGGCACGTGCTTCATCAAAGAGGTTTTATAATTAAATATTCATAACAAAGCACTGCACCCAACACCTCAGCAATACATAACTATTGGCAGCTGTGCTATTGCCTTTGCATATTATATTACTCCTGTTCTTGTTTTTTAAGTTTGAAATGCCACTGAGTTCAAAACACCCACTAGTTTAAATAATAAATACTAAATTGTGCATTGTGTTTTTTGATTAGGTTTTCTAAACAGACAAAACAAAGAGCGACAGAAGTAATTTAAACTAATGAAATGACGTGTGGTAAACACGTGTTGTCCAGGAGGAGCAGGTCCGCTGTCATGAGGCCAGGTTTCGGGCCGTGTCCACTGAACTGGCAGAGATACGCTCCAGCCCTCCAGACCGGAAAGTCAAAGGTCGGGAGCTCGATGAGTATCGCCAAAGAGATGAATATCTGGAGTTTGAGGTGAGCTTAGTCCAGTGCTGTTTCTTATTGCATCATTATGTCACAACAATTATTATATTTTCATGTACTGTAGAAAACTCGATATGCAACCTACGTCATGCTGTTGAGAACAAAACTTCGCATTAATGAGGACGACCTGTCTGTGTTTGAGTCCCTGATCCTGGAGGAGAATGGCATCCAGAGGGCGCTATCCAGCCCCACACTGGGCGACAGCAGCCTGGCATCACAAGCCAGCAGCACCAAGGATGGTCCCAACAGCAGCAAGGCCTCCTGCTGCAGCACCAAACCACGTCAGGAGGCTCAGAGACACAGCTACAGACAAGCTGTGAAGAAGTGAGACTCGGCCCGTCCAGCACGCTGCTGTGGCAGGCCGGCTCCTGCACAGGCTTTATTTAACCCTTACGGCTCCGAGCTCTGCTTGAAGGGGGGGCCGGGTGGGCCCAAACACTGATGCCCTACCCGGCACCCCATCCTCCTCTTCAGAGGAGACTAATGCGGCTGTCCACAGAGACAGAGGAAGAAGAACGAGACAAGTTTGTGCTGGATCTCGGTGCTTGCAGACTGGACCAGGCAGCAACAGGGAACAACATCTGACATCTTTGCTTCTCTCCAGCCTTTTCGCTCTCATCGCGGCTGCCAAGTTTCTCACTTTTATCTTGATCTTTTAGTCAGTTCTGGGACCAAATATGTTTACACATGAAGATCATTCTATTTTAGACAAGTGATTGTTTAAATTGCCACCACTGCTCTGATTTGGAGTACTGTTTCTGAGTCTAGACTCATGAGTTTTACTGGAGCTAAGACATTCCAACTCCACATCCTCATGGTGTGTTCACATTCCACAGACGAGTGGGACATCTCAGCATTTCCCTCTCTGCCACTGAAGAAGACGGATGTTGAAGACTTTATTCTGCCCTGATGGCTGTTTGCAGTTTCACTCAGTGCTTACACATCTTAACAGGCTACACTTTTGCTTTACTTGAACAGACAATCTTCTGCCGGTTGCTTTGGCTTGTGTCCCGTAGTGTGCTTTTGTTCTCTCTTCTTCTTGGTCGACTGTTGTTTTCTCCAGTGATTCGCATGCCTGCATCCAGCTCCGCGACTTTTAGGGCTTTTCCGTCTGAGGGCGAACACTGAACGCAGCAAAAATGTTTTATTCTGAAATCATTGAGTCTTTTTTCCTTCTTGTTGTTGCCATACTCCCTGTTATGTCCACCTCTGTAACACTCACCGCGCAGACCCTGAATGTTTCCGATATTGTTTACTGTCATATGTTGAACCTTCTCCTCCTGTGTAATGTATGTCACGTGTACGCTGAGATGCTATTGATAATGTAACAAGAAATATGTAATATTATTTGTAAACATCTGGGATATGTTTGTATATAATGCACCCATGCTGTATGCGTACAGTACAATGTAGGATATATTACAGTATATATTTACAATATAGTAAAAACAATAATGTGGACTTTATTTAGGTACAACATTGTACTCAGAGTATCAGCACTAAACTACTTTTCTGTTCTTTTTATGTTAGATAACACAGCAACAGCACAATATGAGTATTCTAATGATGCCAATTATCAGAGATTAGTAACTTCAGATGGTGAACTGAATAAGATGTGTGTTAGGAACAACTAAACATCTGCTTTAGAATTACAAATAGTGCAACGGAACACTCCAGAGAAGGTGTTTTATAGGGGGAAAAACAAAGGCATGACTTAATATAAAATATCAGATTTTGCATAAAGTTGGACCGAATAAAACATGGATTAATGGATGTGGATCACTGGTAGCCATTTACACCTCATAACAGTTTATTTTTTAAAGTATAGCCATTTTTAACTCAGGCTAAAAAAAGAATGCATTCGGCAGCTGCAGTGCCAGTTTTTACCAGCAGGGAGCGCGGTAGACGCTCAGTTGTAATGTAACTCAGCCATAATCACTCCTGCTGCACTTGCAGTGAATATGCATGGCATCTCCTACCAAGTCCATGATCCGCAGGGCTATGAGAACAAACCAATGTACATGAAGCTTCGTGAGTGTCTGTCCGCTGTGGCACAGTCCGACCCAGTCCGACCCAGTCTCATGTCGCTGCATTTTTACTACTTTTCATTTACTATTCTTCACATTATTTGCCCCATTGTTCTCACATTTCTTTAGTGACAGTTTTGTTTATTCTGACATGTCAAAAGAATATGTTATAATCTACGTTATTGTGCACTTTATGATCTTTTGTCAGTATTTATAGGCTGTCACCACAAACAAAACGTGCACTATTTTGTCCATCTTGTATTATTTTGGAATATACTGTAGCTGTAGCTTTTTGGCTAATAGCTTTCCATTTGATCTCTTTTTATTTTCATTTTATGGAAAAGAAGTGAGCTGTGCGTCAAGTCAAGTGCTGTTTCTAGCTCATACATTCAAACTAAAGTAATGTGTGAAATAGGCCATTCAAATTATTTTGTTTTTGCTATAGTTTATATGATGCACTTAGAATAAAGCTGGAGTATTTCGCTTTTTTCGTTTCATAAATATATTTTGATTCTTGTTTTAAGTAACATGTTGTGAACAAATCGGACCGCAACATGCTGTTTTCTATATATATATTTTAACATTTTATTGTTTACTGAGAGCTGATTGGCTGAGTGAGGGCGGTTCTATTTTTTCAGGCCAAAAAATAACATGTTTGTGTAAACTAGTGACAGAACCAATTCATTTTAACTGCTCAGAACTATCAGCAGTTGCATGGATTTTATTACATAGTTCATTTATTGTGATTTCAAGGTTAGCTACTCCAGCTTTAAATCAATCAATTCCGTAGTTAAAAGCCAAGCTAATGCACTCTGTTGCTTCAAACAAGACTCTCAAATAAATAAAATATTATGCACATTTTCTCAATTGGACTGGAATAAATGGCCTTTTCTAACATATTTTAAAACAGCCTTGTTCACCTAAATGTCAGGTTAGTTTGGGATCCTTTTTTACCATAATCAATCTGTCGTCATCTTCTCATCACGCTGGTCATTTTGAAATGGCAGTGTATGTGTTTTGTTTTGTTGATGTTTTGGTCCGCCTGTGCCAGCCTCCATCTTTGAATGTGACATGTAAATAAGCATGAGATATTAAGGCCTGCAACTATTTATACTAAAGAGTATTGAACTGAAGTGTTACGAGTAGGTCGACATGAGCTCACGGTCGTCTTGTTGTCAATGTGAATGGAGAATATGACTGTGTTTGGAGCTGTTGTACGCCGTGTTTTGAGGGAAATATTTTACATGTAGAGGTCTGGCTCCATCTCCGTGTTTAAAATGATAATGTTCATTTGATGCTACATACAGCGAGCTACATGTGTCACTGCCTTGTTTAAAACACACCGAGGAAATGTTGTATGTGAACCTCCATTGGGAGACAGAGATGCTAAAAATAAACATAATTTGAAAGGTTGCTGTGGTTCATGTGTTTCTGTTATGATCAACCATATGTGCTGAATGATTAACGTACTATTTGGAATCTTTGGGATGTCAGATTACTCTCCAGATTATTAGAGGCTCAGATTATATCATTATCACATGACTATTATATGACATTGACATACATGTATGTACTTAACCTTAAAATAATGATTTTGACACAAAAGCTTTGAGTGTAAAAATGTATTAAGTGCAGAAACTATTATTTGTAGTATTAACAGAAGTCATGGTAGTAGTAGTAGTAGAAGTAACAGTAGTAGTAGTAGTAGAAGTAACAGTAGTCATAGTAGTAGTAGTAGAAACAGAAGTCATAGTAGTAGTAGTAGTAGTAACAGTAGTCATAGTAGTAGTAGTAGTAGTAACAGTAGTCATAGCAGTAGTAGTAGTAGTAACAGTAGTCATAGTAGTAGTAGTAGTAGTAGTAACAGTATTCATAGTAGTAGTAGTAGTAGTAGTAACAGTATTCATAGTAGTAGTAGTAGTAGTAGTAGTAACAGTAGTCATAGTAGTAGTAGTAGTAGTAGTAGTAGTAACAGTAGTCATAGTAGTAGTAGTAGTAGTAGTAGTAACAGTAGTCATAGTAGTAGTAGTAGTAGTAACAGTAGTCATAGTAGTAGTAGTAGTAACAGTAGTCATAGTAGTAGTAGTAGTAGTATTAACAGTAGTCATAGTAGTAGTAGTAGTAACAGTAGTCATAGTAGTAGTAGTAGTAGTAGTAAAAGTAGTCATAGTAGTAGTAGTAGTAGTAACAGTAGTCATAGTAGTAGTAGTAGTAGTAGCAACAGTATTCATAGTAGTAGTAGTAGTAGTAGTAACAGTATTCATAGTAGTAGTAGTAGTAGTAGTAACAGTAGTCATAGTAGTAGTAGTAGTAACAGTAGTCATAGTAGTAGTAGTAGTAGTAGTAGTAGTAACAGTAGTCATAGTAGTAGTAGTAGTAGTAGTAGTAACAGTAGTCATAGTAGTAGTAGTAGTAACAGTAGTCATAGTAGTAGTAGTAGTAGTATTAACAGTAGTCATAGTAGTAGTAGTAGTAACAGTAGTCATAGTAGTAGTAGTAGTAGTAGTAACAGTAGTCATAGTAGTAGTAGTAGTAGTAACAGTAGTCATAGTAGTAGTAGTAGTAGTATTAACAGTAGTCATAGTAGTAGTAGTAGTAACAGTAGTCATAGTAGTAGTAGTAGTAGTATTAACAGTAGTCATAGTAGTAGTAGTAGTAGTATTAACAGTAGTCATAGTAGTAGTAGTAGTAACAGTAGTCATAGTAGTAGTAGTAGTAGTAGTAAAAGTAGTCATAGTAGTAGTAGTAGTAGTATTAACAGTAGTCATAGTAGTAGTAGTAGTAACAGTAGTCATAGTAGTAGTAGTAGTAGTAGTAACAGTAGTCATAGTAGTAGTAGTAGTATTAACAGTAGTCATAGTAGTAGTAGTAGTAGTAGTAACAGAAGTCATAGTAGAAGTAGTAGTAGTAACAGAAGTCATAGTAGAAGTAGTAATAGTAACAGAAGTCATAGTAGTAGTAGTAGTAGTAGTAACAGTAGTCATAGTAGTAGTAGTAGTAGTAGTAATAGTAACAGTAGTCATAGTAGTAGTAGTAGTAGTAGTAATAGTAACAGTAGTCATAGTAGTAGTAGTAGTAGTAGTAGTAGTAGTAACAGTAGTCATAGTAGTAGTAGTAGTAGTAGTAGTAATAGTAACAGTAGTCATAGTAGTAGTAGTAGTAGTAGTAGTAGTAGTAGTAACAGTAGTCATAGTAGTAGTAGTAGTATTAACAGAAGTCATAGTAGAAGTAGTCGTGCCAAACTGTTGTTGTGTCCTTAGGAAAGACACTTCACTCACATTGCCTAGAATGAGTCTGGTGTGTGTGTGTGTGTGTGTGTGTGTGTGTGTGTGTGTGTGTGCGTGCGTGTGTGTGTGTGTGTGTGTGTGAATGGTTGGTGGTGGTGGGAGGGGCCGATGGCACATACTGGTTGCCTCGCTTCTGTCAGTGTGTCACAGGGCAGCTGTGGCTACAGTAGTAGTTTAACACCACCGTGTTTAGTGTGAATGAATAATGACATGAAGTGTCTTTGAGCGTCCAAAACAGCGCTGTATGAAACTGATGCATTATTAGTAGTAATTCATTTGAAACATTTCCTTTCTTATAAAATAATCACTAATTATACATTATATCTGAAGCGGCTTAATACATTTAACCTTGCTAAAAGCCAATAAATTGATATACAAAACGTGTATTGTCCTTGAATATAGATTTTAAGAATCCTAAACAACAGTGAAATAATAAATAAATAATAATAATAATAATATTTCCTCCGGTTGGGCGGTGACGTCACACCGGAAGTACACAGCGCTGCTGCTGCTGCATTGACCCGAAAACAACACAAGCGCGATAATCCTCCTCCTCCTCACTGCTCATGACATCTGCGTAGACACAACGTGAGTAAAACTACCAACTTCTCAATATTCTCCTTTTTCTGCTCAACTTCAGTCCAACAAACAAGTGCAATGGATCCGCTGCAACAAAGCCAGAGGCGGGAGCTATTTCCTGGGTCACACTCAGCTCAGGCGACACACGAAAGGCGATATTATGTGTTTTACCTTCAGTTATTCAGTGCAATTGGGGTTTATATGTGTGGTTCTGACCAGATTCTGCCTCTAGCTGTCCACAAAGGGCAGGATCCGAGACGGTGTCACTGGTCCTCTTTATGCTGGTCCTGGTCGTGTGATCACTATTGCGAAAGTGAAAGCCCCTGTGCAGATTCGATTAAAACACATTTGGTCGATTTTGGTGTAATTCTGTGTTTTTGTTTTGTCTAGCTGACGTGAACCATGGAGATGCCTCCCTATAGGCAGAACCAGTACTGCGGTGACTGGGAGCTGAAGGAGAGGCTTGGCATGGGAGGGTTTGCCCATGTGTACCTTTACCAGCATGTTGTAAGTATGTTGTAAATGCCCACAGATTGGCTTAAAAAGGGTTATCCATCTGGTTGTAAATACGATTTCAGTAAAGCCAGTTGTTTGATTTCTCTTATTACTCAGCCATTGTTAGATAATACTCAGGTGCTTAAAGGAAATTGCTTCTAGTTTTAAATGCTGGTATTTATTTGGGTGTGTGTCATCCTCACAAAGTTAATGTCTTCCTGATTGACAGGTATCAAATGAAAAACTAGCAGTCAAAATGTGCCGCCTAGACTTAACGCCGAGGAATAAAGACAGATGGAAAAGGGAAATTCTAATCATGAAAAAGTAGGTATTCAATGTCATGTTTTATTTGTCAAAAGCTTTAAATGTTGTATGTATTGGCAATTTAGGCAAAATGTGTGATGAAATTTGTATGTTGTGTGTTTTTGTTGTCATGGTTTCTTTCTCAACTCAGGTTAAATCATATAAACGTGGTGACGGGTCGGGACGTCCCTGAAGAAATCACCCACATAGCCTTAAATGATCTTCCACTGCTGGCCATGGAGTACTGCTCGAGAGGAGACCTGCGAAAGGTTAAGAGATTGTATTTGTGTTTTTTAGGGTGTTACACGTACCGTATGTTGGTGTCAAGGTCATCTGCCAAAACGATCACACAGATTAGCTTTAACATCATCCGTCATCCGTGTTGTCATTTATTGGTATTTTTACGTAATCATTGTGCATGATCCAAATGTTGTTCATAATATTCTGTGGAATAAGAAGAATTGAGCTGCGTCGAGCTGGAGCCATGAACAAGTTGCATGATTCAGCTTTTTTAGGAATGATTAAGACCCTTAAATTCTCCCACATTCAGTGATGGAGTGCACATGGCAGAACAGTGGGAGTAAAAGCAGAAATATATATTTATAGAAAAGCTCAAAAATATTTCTTTTATTCTTTAGATTAGATAGTTCTAATTATAACTATGGCTGTTTTTACACTAAGCTAATGCAAGTTCTCAAAGCCTCAGAGCTGCTTAAACAATACTTACTTATTATTATTCATACCATTCTTCTTCTTATAATAATAATAATAATAATAATAACTGACTAAAGTGACTACAGAACCAGTGTCCACATCTGGTCCCATTTGAACCATTTGAGTTCATTCCATCGGACCAAGTGTGAATGACAGCTTTAATTACACATTCTTCATGTTTAGTCTCAATAAGATACATTTTCTGAAAAGACTTAGACTAATATGATGTATTTACAGCAATGACTACAACTGTTTATGTTATTAGTCATCAGAAGATTAGACAGAGTAGACTGCACCTGTAGTACAGCAGTACTGTACTACAGGTGCAGGCCATGTACAGTTACTACAGCAGTACTACAGGTGAAGACCATGTACAGTTACTACAGCAGTACTACAGGTGAAGGCCATGTACAGTTACTACAGCAGTACTACAGGTGAAGGCCATGTACAGGTACTACAGCAGTACTACATGTGAAGGCCATGTACAGTTACTACAGCAGTACTACAGGTGAAGGCCATGTACAGTTACTACAGCAGTACTACAGGTGAAGGCCATGTACAGTTACTACAGCAGTACTACAGGTGAAGGCCATGTACAGTTACTACAGCAGTACTACATGTGAAGGCCATGTACAGTTACTACAGCAGTACTACAGGTGCAGGCCATGTACAGTTACTACAGCAGTACTACAGGTGAAGGCCATGTACAGTTACTACAGCAGTACTACAGGTGAAGGCCATGTACAGTTACTACAGCAGTACTACAGGGGCAGGCCATGTACAGTTACTACAGCAGTACTACAGGTGAAGGCCATGTACAGTTACTACAGCAGTACTACAGGTGAAGGCCATGTACAGTTACTACAGCAGTACTACAGGTGCAGGCCTTGTACAGTTACTACAGCATTACTACAGGTGCAGGCCATGTACAGTTACTAAAGCAGTACTACAGGTGCAGGCCATGCACAGTTACTACAGCAGTACTACAGGTGAAGGCCATGTACAGTTACTACAGCAGTACTACAGGTGCAGGCCATGCACAGTTACTACAGCAGTACTACAGGTGAAGACCATGTACAGTTACTACAGAAGTACTACAGGTGAAGGCCATGTACAGTTACTACAGCAGTACTACAGGTGCAGACCATGTACAGTTACTACAGTAGTACTACAGGTGAAGGCCATGTAGAGTTACTACAGCAGTACTACAGGTGAAGGCCATGTACAGTTACTACAGCAGTACTACAGGTGAAGATCATGTACAGTTACTACAGCAGTACTACAGGTGAAGGCCATGTACAGTTACTACAGCAGTACTACAGGTGAAGACCATGTACAGGTACTACAGCAGTACTACAGGTGAAGGCCATGTACAGTTACTACAGCAGTACTACAGGTGAAGGCCATGTACAGTTACTACAGCAGTACTACAGGTGAAGGCCATGTACAGGTACTACAGCAGTACTACAGGTGAAGGCCATGTACAGTTACTACAGCAGTACTACAGGTGAAGGCCATGTACAGTTACTACAGCCTAACTACAGGTGAAGACCATGTACAGTTACTACAGAAGTACTACAGGTGAAGGCCATGTAGAGTTACTACAGCAGTACTACAGGTGCAGGCCATGTACAGTTACTACAGCAGTACTACAGGTGAAGGCCATGTACAGTTACTACAGCAGTACTACAGGTGAAGGCCATGTACAGTTACTACAGCAGTACTACAGGTGAAGACCATGTACAGTTACTACAGTAGTACTACAGGTGAAGGCCATGTACAGTTACTACAGCAGTACTACAGGTGAAGGCCATGTAGAGTTACTACAGCAGTACTACAGGTGAAGGCCATGTAGAGTTACTACAGCAGTACTACAGGTGAAGACCATGTACAGTTACTACAGCAGTACTACAGGTGAAGGCCATGTACAGTTACTACAGCAGTACTACAGGTGAAGACCATGTACAGTTACTACAGCAGTACTACAGGTGAAGACCATGTACAGTTACTAAAGCAGTACTACAGGTGAAGGCCATGTACAGTTACTACAGCAGTACTACAGGTGAAGACCATGTACAGTTACTACAGCAGTACTACAGGTGAAGGCCATGTACAGTTACTACAGCAGTACTACAGGTGAAGGCCATGTACAGTTACTACAGCAGTACTACAGGTGAAGGCCATGTACAGTTACTACAGCAGTACTACAGGTGAAGGCCATGTACAGTTACTACAGCAGTACTACAGGTGAAGGCCATGTACAGTTACTACAGCAGTACTACAGGTGAAGACCATGTACAGGTACTACACTACAGCAGTACTACAGGTGAAGGCCATGTACAGTTACTACAGCAGTACTACAGGTGAAGGCCATGTACAGTTACTACAGCCTAACTACAGGTGAAGACCATGTACAGTTACTACAGAAGTACTACAGGTGAAGGCCATGTAGAGTTACTACAGCAGTACTACAGGTGCAGGCCATGTACAGTTACTACAGCAGTACTACAGGTGAAGACCATGTACAGTTACTACAGTAGTACTACAGGTGCAGGCCATGTACAGTTACTACAGCAGTACTACAGGTGAAGGCCATGTAGAGTTACTACAGCAGTACTACAGGTGCAGGCCATGTACAGTTACTACAGCAGTACTACAGGTGAAGGCCATGTACAGTTACTACAGCAGTACTACAGGTGAAGGCCATGTACAGTTACTACAGCAGTACTACAGCGTTAGTGTTTAAATATATCTAGCTATATAATTGAAAGTAGTTGTTTTCATGTTGCTTTGTGATGCGTTCTTGTGACAGGTTCTGAGCAAACCTGAAAACTGCTGCGGTTTGAAAGAAAGTGAAGTGCTTTCATTACTCAGCGATGTTGGTATGTGTTTCGTTTCATTTAGTCGTTCTTTTGTCCTCCAAACGATTCACGGTCATTTCTGCTCCAGGGTCCGGTATCCAGTATCTCCACGAAAACAAGATTATACACAGAGACCTGAAGCCTGAAAACATTGTGCTACAGGATATAAACGGGAAGGTAAATAATGAACTCACTTTTAGGTTTTTAGTGATTGCAGAAAAGGAAGCTTCAGCATTTATAGATGTGTTTCTTATTAGTAGAGGAAAGGTTTCTCAGCTAGTTTAATGTGACATAAATGGCTTAATGGCTCTTTACATTTAGGCCAGCTCTATTTGAATTAAAGTAGCATGATTTGTTCTTTTTATACTGATCAAATAAGCAGTAACTCTAGACCAAAGCTGACCAATGCATCTGGGAATGATCAAAACCCTCACTGTATGCTGTCTAGACTGGGGTTTTTTTTTTTTAAATATATATATAAATAAGTTTGTGGTATGTATATATAAATATATATATATATTTTTTTTTTTTTTTGATTTTTGGATATTTCTTTTTGGGAGGGGGGATTTTTTCCCCCAATTATTATATCATTTCTTATACAAATATATATATAGATTTGTTTAGATATTTGTATGTGAATAACAATGAATCTTCAATACATTAAATATAAATTCAGCAGTAGTGTTATATGTCTGTTCAAATGCAGCAGAGCGTTCGACAAGGAGCTAAAAGCCTTTTGTTGTATCGTTCAGAAATAAATATATTATCAAATTGACAGCCCCCTGTATCTGGATGTGTATTGTATTGGCAGCCTCTGAAAGATGGCCAGCCCAAGTCCACTTTAATAATGTTGTTGTGTTTCTGTAGCTGGTTCATAAAATCATTGACCTGGGCTACGCCAAGGACCTGGACCAGGGAAGTCTCTGCACGTCTTTTGTCGGAACTCTGCAGTATCTGGTAAAGACCCCGTACGACAGGCCTGTGCTGTGGTGCTTTCATTAACTTGAATACTAAACTCAACTGTTTTTAGGCTCCAGAACTTTTTGAGAACAAGCCGTACACTGTCACTGTGGACTATTGGAGTTTTGGTACAATGATTTTTGAGTGTAGCTGCGGCTTTCGTCCTTTTTTTCACAATCTTCAACCGGTGCAATGGTAAGAACTGCAGCCTGTCACATTTATGTTGCTTTTATTCAGAATATTATCTCATTTTAAGCTTTCTTGTCTAATCGCCAGGGTGAGCAAGGTGCGAAATAAAGGTCCTAAGGATATTATGGCTGTGGAGGAACCAACTGGGGAGGTCAAATTCTCCAAACACATGCCAAACCCCAATAATCTCAGCAGGTGAGAACTTTCTTATGACTCAACCTCTTTTGGAAACCTCTCGTCTCGTCTAAATATGTCTTTGATTCAAGACCGCTTTTGGAGCCGATGGAGGAGTTGCTTCAGCTCATGTTAAAGTGGGATCCCGTTCATCGAGGAGGAAAAGTCAACACTGAAAATAAGAAGCCGCCGTGTTTTGATTTTCTCGAGCAGATTCTTAGTATGAAGGTAAGCACTTTGGTCGACCGGACTCGGTTTAGGTTTTATGGCTTTGTTTCAAACCTGTGTACACACATGCAACACACATAAGTAATACAAAAATAGTAGACCAAAGGTAGAGATTGTATATGTCAGGGGTCGGCAACCTTTGTGACATGGAGTACCAGTTTGAAATGTTCTTCTCATCTAGTGTTTTGTGTCATAATTTACGTATTACAAATTCCAATATACCTGGAATTTTCAACAATAGCAGTATCCGTATACTAAATAATTTAGCCACATCAACATTTCAAAGACTGAAAAACAGCTAGCCTACACATTTAAACTAAAGCAAGTGTAGGCCGAGACAACATCAAATGATCAGATGCCTACAGCAGACAGTCAGTGTGATCCCTGGGCCTATAGCAGACAGTCAGTGTGATCCTATAGCAGACAGTCAGAGTGATCCCTGGGCCTATAGCAGACAGTCAGTGTGATCCTATAGCAGACAGTCAGTGTGATCCCTGGGCCTATAGCAGACAGTCAGTGTGATCCTATAGCAGACAGTCAGTGTGATCCCTGGGCCTACAGCAGACAGTCAGTGTGACCCCTGGGCCTATAGCAGACAGTCAGTGTGATCCTATAGCAGACAGTCAGTGTGATCCCTGGGCCTATAGCAGACAGTCAGTGTGATCCTATAGCAGACAGTCAGTGTGATCCCTGGGCCTATAGCAGACAGTCAGTGTGATCCTATAGCAGACAGTCAGAGTGATCCCTGGGCCTACAGCAGACAGTCAGTGTGATCCCTACAGCAGACAGTCAGTGTGATCCCTGGGCCTATAGCAGACAGTCAGTGTGATCCTATAGCAGACAGTCAGAGTGATCCCTGGGCCTACAGCAGACAGTCAGTGTGATCCCTGGGTCTACAGCAGACAGTCAGTGTGATCCCTGGGCCTACAGCAGACAGTCAGAGTGATCCCTGGGCCTACAGCAGACAGTCAGTGTGATCCCTGGGCCTACAGCAGACAGTCAGTGTGATCCTATAGCAGACAGTCAGTGTGATCCCTGGGCCTACAGCAGACTGTCAGTGTGATCCCTGGGTCTACAGCAGACAGTCAGTGTGATCCCTGGGCCTACAGCAGACAGTCAGAGTGATCCCTGGGCCTACAGCAGACAGTCAGTGTGATCCCTGGGCCTACAGCAGACTGTCAGAGTGATCCCTGGGCCTACAGCAGACAGTCAGTGTGATCCCTGGCCCTGCTTCACTGAGCTCTGTGATCTGGGGCTTGTAGTTAGTTACTCTGAGTTGCAAACATGCCTCAGAGTGCTCCGTTGTTAACCAACTGCAGGTGGGGCTTCTCGTCCTCCAATTCTGGATATTTTTGGCCCTTTTCATTCAGAAAGGCTTTAATAGCATCAAAGCAGCTGACAAATCGCTCCAGAACTTTCCCACAACTCAGCCATCTCACTGCTGAGTGGAAAGGCAGATGCTTTTATTTTTAAAACAGGACAGATAAAGTGAGTATGGTATACGTCTTTATTATGCTAAAGTCAGAAATTGAGATGTATTTATTTTTAAATCAAACACTAGACCCGCCCCCACAGCTTCCTGATTGGACGCAATGAATTAAAATCCTTGATAGACAGCTGAGGGCCCTCACCATTGGTCTGACTATTCCCCTCCAGCAAATACAGGTGATGCTTATGCCAGGGGGAGGGACTGTTTTAAAATATGTAATGGAGATGAATTGGGAAGTCTGGGCGTCTCTGATTAGACTGCTGCCCCCGTGACCCGGCAACGGATTAAGCGGAAGAAAATGAATGGAAATGATGCTACAAGGTCATATTGTCAAACATCCATCAATTCATCCATTTTCTTTCCCTTTGTCCATTTCTGGATTGGGGGGTGAGAGAAGGGAGTCGGTGGAGAAGGTCTCATGGTGGGCTCGAACCTACAACCTTCTGGCTCAAAGGCTAAGGCTCAGCTACCAACTGAGCCACTGCCGGCAAACATGTGGTCAAACATATATTTAAAAAATTAAATACAGACATCATCTTTAATTGTACATTGATTTATGTTGCATATTTGATTATTTTTTCTACCTCTTTTTTATTTTATCATTATTTACCTTTGAGCAGAAGTAGATTTATTTGAACTAGTGTAGGATGTGGCTTTGTTTTTTGGTCTCTACCCTTAAGTCAGAATCGTTAAAGCAACATTTATTCCCAGTGTAGCCGCATGTTCCAGTGTGTTTGTGTTCTCCTCTCTGCAGGTGGTCCACATTCTCAACATGGTCACGGCGCAGGTCCATTCGTTTCAGCTGAGTCCAGACGAGACGCTGTACAGTCTCCAGAAACGCATCGAGGCCGAAACCAAGATCGAAGTGGTGAACCAAGAGCTGCTTCAGGAGACCGGAGTGTCCCTGGACCCTCGCAAACCGGCCGCACAGTGCGTTCTGGACGGAGTGGTGAGTCCCCAACACGTCCACATGGACCTTCTTGTAGTCACAGAACATGTTTGAGAGGAGGAGGCCATTTTATAATCCATTCATCATTAGATTAGGTTAGATTAGATTCACCGTTATCGTCATTACAAAGTCAATACAAAATTATAGATTCAGATTCATTATATTTGCCATTTGCAGTAAAACCACATTGGAATACGTTTGCAAGAGTCCTGTGTGTGCACCAGACAAGTACATCGATGAAACAAGTTTAAAAGTACAGAAAAACCACAAACTAAAAAAGGGTGGGAAAGAATTGTCATTGTGAATTGATTGATTGATACTAAAACAGTTTCAATACAAAGATTATTAAAGTGCTGTGTTTAAAATGATAAGTTTGTGGAAAGAAGCTGTTAGCAAAACAACATGTCCTGTATCTCAATGAACGGTATCTTCTGCCAGAGGGAAGAAGCTGGAACATGGCTTTTTCAGGGCCCAGAAGAGTAATTGATTATTCTAAGCGCTGGGTTTAAGAGTCTGGATTTATGAAGAACAAGGTGGGGGCATCAAGGGCAACAGTAGCTCAGTTGGTAGAGCATTGGCCTTTGAGCCAGAGGGTTGTGGGTTCGAGCCCGACTTTCACCATCGACTCCCACTGTCTGCTGTTGTTGTGTCCTTAGCAAGACACTTAACTTCTGGGAACACCAGGTGCCACAGTGGGGCGGCTGCGGCTGTAAAGTGCCAAAATGCTGTTGTGTCCTTAGGCAAGACACTTCACCCCCATTGCCTAGAATGAGTCTGGTGTGTGTGTGAGTGAATGGTTGGTGGTGGTGGGAGGGGCCGATGGCACAGACTGGTTGCCTCGCTTCTGTCAGTGTGCCCCAGCTCACAGTCCTCTATAGACTCCATTGGCAAACTTCAATTTGGTCAACATTTTAATTAAATTACCTATTTTTGACCTCTTGAGCTTAGGACTTAAGTCTGTTGAGGACCACGACACAAAACGTTAGAATTTTGCTCTCTCAAAGCACATGTGATAAATGTTCAGTCCTTTTTTCTTGTCACACATTGCTCCATGATTCATCTTTGTTGTGTGTGTGTTTGTCGTGTGTGTGTTTGTTGTGTGCGCAGAGGGGCTGGGACAGCTACATCGTCTACTTGTTTGACAGAAGTATGAGCAAGTACACCGGCCCCCTCAGTTCCAGACAGCTGCCTGAGAAAGTCAACACAATCGGTGGGTTTGTGTTTGTTTAAATCACGTCTTTTGTTGCACAGGCTATATGAGTCCTGTGACCTGCACTAGGACTGTTTTTATTGTACATAATATATCCTGCACAAAAGAGACTATTTAGGCTTTTTACCATGTTTGCACACTTCCTCTCTTTTTGCACACCCTGAGGGATTCTGTCGATGCCAAATGTCACATGTATATTTCTCCATTGTGAGATCAATAAAGTTTATCTTACCTGATCTATTGGATTATAAATCGCATCAGCCGAAAATGTGGAAGAGTTGTGCTAGATTATAAGTGGCATTTTAATAGCTTAATCACTCAACTTAGTAGCCCGGGCTATTTTTTGTATGTTTTACGGTAAATACAGTATACATTTTTAATAATTCCACACATAAGTCGCTCCAGGGTATACGTTGCACCCCTGGCCACACTATGACAAAAACTGCCACTTATTTAAAAAAAATACGGTATCTTATCTTATCTTATCTTGTGTATTATCTTTGTGTTTTCAGTTCAAGAACCCAAAACCCAAGTGTCATTAGTGGTGCTGAAGAAGATTTGGGGACAGGCAGTGAGTTACATCTGCGGGCTGAAGGAGGATTACAGCCGACTGTTCCAGGGACAGAGGGCTGCCATGTAAGACAATCCTCTCATTCATGTTTTCAAACTGTATTTGTCTTTCTACTGTCCAACTTCTGTGTGCTTCCCTCAGGTTGAGTCTTTTAAGATACAACACCAACCTGACCAGATGTAAAAACAGCATGTTTGGCTTTTCTCAACAACTCAAAGCCAAACTGGACTTTTTTAGAAGCAGTATTCAGTACGATCTGGAGAAGTACAGTGATCAGATGCACTATGGCATATGTAAGTGTTCCCCGGCTCCTGTCCACTTTACAGTATGCTTTTGTTATTATGAAGATCTTCTTTCTTTTGCTCCAGCCTCTGAAAAGATGCTTAAGGCCTGGCAGGAGAATGAAGAAAGAGCAGCTGCTTTTGCCCAGGTAAAACATTGTCCTTGGATTCCAGGATTTGTATGAATTAGTATCATTGTGTTAGTTACATGCAGTAACACGCTACGTCCTGCAGGTGGCAGAAGTGGGCCATTTAGATGACGAGATTATGGCTCTTCACTCTGAAATAGTGGAACTACAGAGAAGCCCCTATGCCCGTCGCCAAGGAGACAAGATCGAGCAGTTGTGAGTGGTTTCTGTATTTGTGAATGAATATGTCTGAGGGCCAGTATTATTCAACAGATCTGCTCATCACAAACACAGCATTCACAAAGCTTTTGCTCACTTTGTTCTTTTCTTTGCAGAGAAGAAAAGGCGATTGAGCTTTACAAACAACTGAAGATGAAATGCAAAAGTGAGAGTTATAATTTACTTTGAAGCATTCACTTATTGTCATTATCTGTAAATGTGTAATGTGTCCTCAGTCCCGGAGTCTGATGTGAGCTCTGACAGCTCTGAGATGGTCAAGGCCATCATTCAGACCGTTCAAAACCAGGACAAGGTCCTCAAAGACCTGTACACACACCTCAGGTACGGCCCGCTGCAGGACTAACCACCGATTGGACTTTTATAGAGCGTTAACGGTTTACCCTCTGACCTGTTTCAGTAAAATCCTAATCAGCAAACAGAAGATCATCGACTTATTTCCACGGATTGAGAAAACGTTAGAAAACATTAAAGATGCTGATAACACAGTTATGCAGATGCAAATCAAAAGACAACGAGAGTTCTGGCATTTGTTGAAGATAGCATGTGTAAGTGACCTCTTATTTACTATGACCAATACTGTGTAGCTTTTGGAAATCGTCATCTCTGTCGCTGCATTTGTACGAACTTTAACAGTACTTTAGTCACAGATGTAATGAGCTGGTGTGGTCTGCCTCAGGCTCAGAACTTGTCCAGAAACTCCATCGCCGTGAGTCCAGAGTCCAACCTGCTGCAAGTGTCTCAGTGGTCACCGTCGCAGCCACAGTCTCCATCACAGTCCCAGTCTCAGTCCCAGTCTCAGGCCCAGTCTCAGGCCCAGCCGGTCAGCTCCCCACACCCCCTCACCTCTCTGCCCGGCCCGAACGACAGGTATGTGTCGCAGGTTCTTTTACCCACTTTATGTATATTATTTGTAAATGAAACACAAGCACACTCACACAGGTCCAGCTCGAATATATTTGCAGACTTTGCATTTTGTCTCCAGCTCAAACTCACAACTTGATATTGCAAAAACGTGTGTGTAAATAGTAGTTTTGTGTGAGGCACTTTGGTCTCGATTGTGTTAAGAACAGAATTGTGACATAAACTTTCTTGCACCACTGCACTGTATTTTTTAAATTATTTTTTGTGTTTATGTCCATGGGGTCGATGACAAAGGAACTGACGGTTCTAAATCTGTAATGTTCTTTTCCCCAGAGACGCGGCCCCACGCCTGCTCCAGGAGAACCAGAAGTACCTCAGTCAGCTGACCAGCCTCATGCAGGAAGCTGCTGACGACCAGGCCAAGAGTATAGTGGTGAGTCCTGTGTGTGTCCTGTGTGTGTGCGTTTGTCTGTGTGTGTGCGTGTGTGTGTGTGCGTGCGTGGGTGTCTGTGTGTGTCTGCGTGTGTGTGTGTGCGTGCGTGGGTGTCTGTGTGCGTGTGAGTGTCTGTGTGTGTGTGTTGTCATGGGTTCAAACGTGAAATCACAACATGCCATACGTCTGGAAATGTGTACGTTTTATTTCTAAAGTGTTTTGTCGAGTAATCATTCAATGCTGTAGTTTTGAATGTGGACAAAATAAATAGAAATCTGTTTTTGAGAGATTTCGTTATGTTTCCTTTTGCTCGACAAACGTATCACAAATGCATGCTGCCGTCAGTTTCTCGTTTGCTAATATTGAAGTAGCTAAACTAAGGCTTTTCATCTTTCTACATTTGTAAACATCATTTCCTCCTCTCTTTTTCAAGGACCAAGACTGGAGCTGGACAAAGTACGAAACTTTAACAACAAAATTAAAAAAGCGAAACGCGTGAGACCTTTGGACGCGTGGGTCTGGGCCCGTGCTCCGAGCAACACTAAGGACTAAAGCTGTCGACTCAGCGGAGGCCGTGTCTTTGAACAGTTGGATTTGGGATTAATCCAACTCTCATCTCGGACCTAAAAAAAAAAAACCCAGATCGGTGGCGGATCTGGTGAAGGCGTGACGCAGGACGGTTTCACAAACGAAAAACACTGAATTTTTGTAACATAAGCAGTTTTCACTACGTGTGTGTGTGTACATAATTTATGGTTTTGTTTCCTTTTCAGCAGTTTTAATCCCGGCTCATGGTATGGATTAAGTAGATTAACTATTTACTGCTGGTGAACATTGAGCCGCCTGTAGCACGTGTGGACGCAGCAGGAATATAACAGGGTCGGTGTGGGACAATCGGTTAAGCCTCAAATTATTTCAACTCTACCGTGGCTCAAAAACAGGGTCTAATTCTGGTTAAGAATTTCAAGGCAAATGGCTGGATTATTTGTTTTCTCGTCCTCTGAGCCACATGGTACACGTAACCACCAGTTGGTAAAACCAGTCGCTACTGTTTGCCCGTTTAATTTTTTTCCTCAAACTCCATTGGAATCTCTTCTTTACGTACAGCTCTTTTGACGCACAACACACAGGACGTATAACACAGCATATTTAAGGTGGATTTGACGCAGCTTGTTGTTAAGGGACTTTCTATGTGTTAAAAAAACGCCCATTCCTACAGTTTCATCAACCGTACATGGGTGAAATCTGATTCTGTGGCGTTTTCCGGGCAACGCTGTAACATCTAAGTGGAAACAAGTTGCATCACGCACCGTTTTCTATCTTGTGGAAACGTGTTTGCTGACAGTACAACCTTAACCTTTTTAGATCTAATGAAATCCATGAAGTTGTGGTTTTTCTTCTCGACAAGAAAAGAGTTTTTTGAATCGTCCCGTAGTTTAGCCGCTTCTCCGTCCCCACTCGAGCCGTGTGCGTCCTGGAATTTGATAAGAATCGTTCCGAGCCTCGCTGAGTAAACAGGAGGACGGACGGTGATTAGGAGGAAGTTACAACCAAGCGAGCGTCTGTAAAGAGACATGTCCAACGGCATTCACAAGACTACAACTGTTCTCATTGATATTTTTCTATACTTTGTGGGTGTTAAGAATGACATGTAAACTTTGGTTTTCGAACCTAGTGCGACTCTTAGACTAAAGTGAGATGATTTCTGTGACAAAGTGGCTGGCCATTATGTTATATACTGTCTACTCTCCTTCTTTCTTTCTCCTCACATGGTTTTTTTGTCTTGTGCACATTTCCGTCGGATAATGGTGTGTCTGTGTGGCTCGTGAGTCAAATGAACCAATCGTCACGTTCTGTGTTGATGAATAGTTGCAGTGATGGCTCTAGCGCTGGACAATACAGCGCCTGAAGGGTCACAATGAGCCGTAGGAAAGGGTTGTATTTATGAAGTTTAAGTGCAATGAACAACATTTATATTTTGTATTTAATTTTCTTTCTTCTTGTCAGTTTACCATCAGTTTTTATTTGTAGAAAATGTTCAATGTATAAAGATCCAATGTTTGCTTGGTATTAAAATAAATGACTTTGGCATGATGTTGTTTTTTCAGCCATGTTTCCCATGTTTGTAAAAACAAATAAATGTAGTGTTTTATTCACAAACTATTCCAACGGTCTTTTAATTGTTTGATCAAATGTAGTGTCTTTTAATGTGGAGCGTGAGGCAGAGAAAAACAGAACTGAGGATGAGTCGCTCTGAAACAGTTGTTTTGTGTTTTGGAATTTTTATTTTTATTGCTTTTTTCTGCCTGAGATGTTGCTGCAGTACAGTGTTCATGGTTTTACACTGGTCCAGACCAGACCAGAGTAGAGAGGATTCATGGTCTGAACCAAGTGGATCAGATGAAAATCTACTGGAGGAATGCTAACTTTTTTGAAAAATGCCAATGAACCATTCAGCATTTTACTTTGGACTAGAGCAGAGACAATGGTGCGAACCAAGCGGCTACTCCACCTCTGCTGCTGTGACCCGTCCTGCTCCACCCAGAGGCTACTCCACCTCTGCTGCTGTGACCCGTCCTGCTCCACCCAGAGGCTACTCCACCTCTGCAGCTGTGACCCGTCCTGCTCCACCCAGAGGCTACTCCACCTCTGCTGCTGTGACCCGTCCTGCTCCACCCAGAGGCTACTCCACCTCTGCTGCTGTGACCCGTCCTGCTCCACCCAGAGGCTACTCCACCTCTGCTGCTGTGACCCGTCCTGCTCCACCCAGAGGCTACTCCACCTCTGCTGCTGTGATCCGTCCTGCTCCACCCAGAGGCTACTCCACCTCTGCTGCTGTGACCCGTCCTGCTCCACCCAGAGGCTACTCCACCTCTGCTGCTGTGACCCGTCCTGCTCCACCCAGAGGCTACTCCACCTCTGCTGCTGTGACCCGTCCTGCTCCACCCAGAAGCTACTCCACCTCTACTGCTGTGACCTGAAGGGCTGTTGCTGATTATTACTTTTGTTACTATTGTTAACATTTTGGAATGATCCATTTTATTTTTTATTTTTGCTGCTACTGAATTTCTCCTTCGGGGGATAAATAAAGTATCTATCTAAAAATTTGAAAATAATATTTGAAAAAGACTCATTATATACAAAATATATCACATATATCTTTGTTTGGTAAAATGTTAATGATAAAGGCTTAGTCTATTTTCAAACTATTCATTATGTTTTTATTTGAGTTTTTACTGCTGTGAGCCAATTCCCATCATCATAACCAGCCGATAGCCATCAGCCACGTTTCTCAACCAAAAGTTACATTTCATAATACATTGTGGTCAATATTTTTGCAGTTTTGCCTGATCGGTCAAAAATCATTCCAATTCTTGAGGCCCCTTGTCTTCTCTTACATACTGTACATGATAGTGAAGTGTCCCTAATTAAACATGCTTTTAAAAATAAAAGTTGCTGATATCACCTTTAAGAAATTTCTTTTTAAATCATACTTTCAATTACTCTGGAGTCGCTCGGTGTTTCCATGAGCTTTCTGGATTTTCAGGCTGACCAATTCCAATCTGGAAACAATTACATTTGCGAGTCTGTTGTGGCCATTACTCAGAGTTTAGGTCATCCCGCGTGGTTTCTTTCTAAGTTGGTTTTTAGCACACACTTTTTCATCTGGCTTTTTGTCTTTTAACATCTGCAATGAACCGATTTGACTCATGTGAATGTGGTCTGCGTGAAGCCATTCTGGGTCACTCCATAGTTCCTACAACATCACAAAGAGTCTAGTCTTTCAAATCCAGGCTGGAATTTTTTGACCCCAAGTTGTATATTTTAACTTCTAATCTGGGTCATCTGCCTCTAGACGGTGATGTATAAATAGCAAATGCCCTATGGATTGAATTATAGCATAGATAGATCGAGCGTGCATGGGAAAGTCCTGTAGTTTGGTTCCTCCTTTTTCTTTTGGAGGCAGATGTCATCACTTCATAACTGCACATCCAGTGATCACTATAAAACCCAATCATAAACTTCTTGTTTGCAAAGCAGTGCGGCTTCCAACCCACGCTGCAGACAAAGACCAAAGACCCACTCCTTCATTCCTCAAATGGACGACTCCCACTTCTGAAACATTTGCATTAAACTCACAGTCAACAAACGTCCGGAAATTGTTGAGGCAGACACAGAACACATTATAAAAATATGAAAAAGGCTAACAATTTACTATTTAATAAGCAGTATGTCTCACAGCCTGTGGAAACTGAAGGTCATAGTCCTCAGAATGATAAGTCTATACCTTTGATTGGCTTCACTTTTTGGGACAGTGTACAATAAACAATCGTCAAAAGAGGTTGTAGCAGTGTTAATTTCCATGTGGCCCTGAGAAGGTTGTTTGTGTTGTGTTGAGTTGTGCGTTTAACATTTTAGATTGAATTACAGAAATAAATGGACTTTAAAGGTGCACTGTGTAGTTTTTACACCCTTCTAGCATTGAGATCATATATTATAATTTACAGTACTACGGTGGCCTCTCAGGACAATATGTCGTTTTAGACCGTGGTCCCCAACTCCCGCTCAAAAGATAAAAAGGTCACATTTGTTTTAACATGTTATTTTTCATTTGGAGTACCTTTAACAAGAATATTCTATTTTTTGCTTGTACATTATACTGTAGTTCAATAATGCAGTGTAATGCACTGTAAATACGTTAAGTGCAATGAGCATTGGCCTTTGGGCCGGAAGATCGTGGGTTTGAGCCCATCATGGGACGTACTCCAACTGCTCCCACTAATGTCTGCTGTCCTTGGGCACATTGCCTGAACTTTACCCCACATTGCCTGAAGCTCCCGCTGAAACACTAAGGCTGTGGCACCACTGACGGAGCAGCCATGTGGACACAAGACCTGCAGAGGATCAGCGAGGAACCAATGCTTAGAAAATTGGGTGGCAGCTCTCATTGCCACCCCCCCAACCCAGAAATGGACTAATGAAGGGGTTAAAAATGGACGACTGAATGGTTGTGGTGCATTGAAAATGAAAAAAGACACAAACCTTCTTGAGCTAATCATCTCAAAGGTCCTGCTCATTGGAAATCCTCAATGAGCAGGAGAATGAAACGTTTTGAAAAAGGGTCATTAATGTTGAACGTACAGTTAGTGATGGTTAAGTTTGTAAAACACACGTCGTGGTCGTTCTGAAGCCGTGGTGTGGGGACAATGAAGGACTTAGCTTTATCCGTTTATATGTTATGATGCGCTTTGTTAAATCCTGAAATAATCCTGGTTCAAATCCCATCAGAGCCACTGTGGTTTTGCCGAGATTTGAAGATAGATTTAATTAGGGTTAGTTCTGGTTCGTTCATAGTTTACTCCGGACAACATTTCAGTGGAATGTTTGTACAGACCAGGACTTTGCTGGTCCACATCCAAATGTGTTCATTTTGACATTGTCTACAGATTATATATACAGTATGTGTTCCCAGATAAGGGCTCAACATGTATAAATCATGCTTAGCCATTTCTTAAAAGTTACCAGTCAGTGTCACTTTTGGTGAAATTGAACTGGTCTTGGCTGTTTTGAAAATAATACAAAAAGAAATATGTAAAAAAAACTAACAAACTAGCACCACACACGTGTTTAAATGAAAGAAAATACAACACAAATACAACACATACAGTAGTAGTCACACAGAACGCACACAGTTTGTAATGTTTCTTAAACCCCAGCGGGTGGGTTGCATCAGTAATCAGGGCTTTGGAGCTTAACGCAGATAAAACAGAATTGATTGTCTTTGGTCCTCAGAAACAAAGAGAGAGCGTTATTCGTCACCTCCAGTCTCTCTCCCTGGAACCTGTAGGCAAGGTCAGAAACCTAGGAGTTATAATGGACTCAGACTTAAATTTTAACAGTCATATCAAATCAGTAACATCAGCAGCATTTTACCATCTGAAAAACATTGCCAAAATTAGAAACATAGTGTCTAAATCAGATCTGGAGATTCTCATCCATGCATTTGTCTCCAGTAGGTTAGACTACTGCAATGGCCTGCTCACAGGTCTCTCCAAACAGGCTGTAAAACAACTGCAGTATGTCCAAAATGCTGCAGCTCGAGTCCTGACCAGGACCAGGAAATATGACCACATTAGTCCAGTTCTCAGGTCTCTGCACTGGCTTCCTGTGGCTCAGAGAATAGACTTCAAAGCAGCACTGCTTGTGTACAAGTCTCTCCATGGCCTCGCACCAGGGTACTTAAGCGACTTGTTAGTCCCATATGAACCGGCCCGGACTCTGAGGAGCACAGGAGGTAGCCTCTTACTGGTTCCAAGAGTCAGAACTAAACATGGGGAGGCAGCGTTTGAGATTTATGGAGCTAAAATCTGGAACAATCTTCCTGAAGATGTGAGGCTAGCATCTACTCTAGCAATTTTTAAATCAGGGCTAAAAACTGTTCTTTTTAGCTGTGCATACGGCTGAAGGATTTTATTGATACATACTCTTTTTTTTTAATGCATTGTGGTTATTTATTATTTTAATCCCGTGTGTGCTTTTAATATATATATATATATTTTTTTTCCATTACTTGTGATTTTATTCTGTTTTTAATGTATTTATTGATGTCTCTGATTTGTGTGATATTATGTGGGTTGTGAGGCGCTTTGAGTGGCCTTGTGTTGGAAAGGCGCCATACAAATAAAGTTGATTGATTGATTGATAGTGTGTCATAGAAAGGAAGATTCTGGCAACAAAACTGTGACTGTTTTTATGTGTTTTTATTGTGCTGTTTTTTTTACACTTTGGTAAGCCTTGGCTGTTTTAAATGTGCTCTACAAATAAAGATTGGATTGATTGACATTTTGAAGACATTGTCAAAGAAAGTGAACGCTTAATTGGCTGCATAGATTTCTTTTAACCTCCTATAATTAGACAGCCATAGAGCTATTTATTTATGGCTATCTATTTGATCTATTTTGAATACTTGCAGCTCCATAAAGTCCTATTGACTTAATTCAGACATTGCTAAGGGGTGTTGTGGATCCAGATGAAGGGCAGAGGTCTGACTCACTTCCAAACACTGTGTAATTATTGACAAACTGTGGTTGAAATTTCTCCAAATGCTGATTTCACAATATCAGTCAGAAACTTGTCCTCTCTGTGAAGAAATGTGTAAACTTCAATAAGACCAGCTCCGTATGGGTTGAATATAAAGTGCGCTTTATTTTTTGAGACAAATGGCTCTCTAATGCGGCCTCGTTAGGTCTAAAATAACCTTCAAACAGTGAATGAATTCAGTCATATGACGCATGACTTTCTTGAGCCGGGGTCGTCGCAAACAAACGGGAGATAGCACCGATCACTGACGCTCGCTTGTCCATTAGGAAGTTTTTAAAGATCCTCCTTCCTGTGACTCATTTCATATAAAGCAGATCGCAGTAAATACACAGCTCCCCTGAGGGCTCACATGTCGAGGCTTGAAAAAAAAAACATGGTCATACACAGCACTCCATACAATTATACACCATTCACTCTTCAAGTAGACTGCCAAGTAATACAATACCCCAGAAGAAGGCAAGGACTGGCTTTTACACCCACAACTACTCAATAAATATTCAAAAGACTAAAAAAATAGAAACAAGCAAAATGTTATGCTCTACGTCCTACAAAGTGCAATTGAGTCTTGATAAAAGTCATCAGAAAACGGCAGCTTGCACCAGCAGCTGCGGCTTTTCACAAGTGTCACTTTTCCCTCAAAAAGCCTGGGTCTTGAGCTGCAACGAGGCGGTCACTGCTTTTATTTGGCTTCTTTTGAGCAACTGGAGGTTGAGGTTTTCCCGGAGGAACTGGAGGAGGACTTGGCTTTGGTTTGAACTGAGAAAAAAGGGGGGAGTTGGTCACTTGATGAATATGTTTTAAGTGCAGATTGAACTCTGCTAAGATCATATCAGAGAAAAATTACTGGTTCATCATGTGCATCAATCTTAGTTATTTGGGACTAAAGGGTTCAACCTGCACCTTTTCCTCCCAGAAAGAATGAGAGCAATATACTTTCAAGTGTGTATGTACTTGTGTATGTACTGTATGTATCAGTCTTACCTCTGTTTTACTCAAAGGAGGCAATGGCTTTGCTGGAGGTACAGGTTTGGTCTGTGGGTCAGAGAGAGAGTCAGCACGTTCTTTGTATTCAATTCAAACCTATTCAATCTAATATGTTGATATATACTGTGTCTGTGGACTCTGTGGCTCTAAATTACACACATGGTTCACGTGAAATGTTTAGATTGACTAAACAACACATGTTATAGGAGGTATATGTCGAGAAGCTCACAAAGCCACACCCCTTTGTTGGAGCATCAAGGAAACATGCTCCAAATATATGTGTCCAAAATTGCAATACAACTTTTATTATTTTAATCTTTGAGCAAAAATGATATTTCGAGGCGGGTGAACTCCCTACATGTCACAGATTTAGAAAAGGAAATTGCCAAAGAATGAGTAAAACACACGGGCGGGGCAAAGGGTCGGTAGTCAAAGGTCTCGAGCTTGAACGATGGTGCCACGCGTACATGAGGATATGAACAACTCAAATGTGCATGAATCAGCTTTTTGTGTATAACAGACAAAGAGAAAGAACTACAACGCAACCAAAAGCTGACGCAGAAAAGTCAATCTTTAGGTTATGTCCCCTTTAAAGTGTAGTTCAGAACAAAACTCACCGTCTCGTTGTGGGAGGTCGGAGGCTCTGGAGGCTGTAACAATCACACACATAACCATTAACAATCGCAGATGCTTTTGTGTGTGTGTGAGTGGACGCCATAGAGACGATACTGCGGGACTGACCATGGGCGCAGGTCGACTCGGAGCCACGGACACGCACAGAGGGGAGCAGACCTGAGCCGCCGTCGACTCCATCAGAGTGGGATGGCTGATCTCAGGTCTGGGTTTGAGACTGGCTTTGTCGAACATGGGGTTCTGCTTCTCCAGAGCTGAGTGCACTTTCCTGGTAAATCACACAATATGCCCAGTATTAGTGATGTTATTTATATAGAACACATTTTTTACAGACCAAGGACACACAAAACACATTATAATGTTCAGATTCAGATATTGCTTCATTGTTTACATTCAGACCTATTGTGTGTGTTTTTTGTATATTATTATTTGTATTATTATTTATTTATTTAAGGTAGTACAGACACAATACAGTACACATACCATAGATCCGTGATCAAAATACATAACGTTAAACAAATGTGAAACCAGTGCATTGTACGTGTTTTTAAAGGTAGTTCAGATATTGTTTCATTGTTCACATTCAGACTTATTGTACAGGTTTTTAGTAGTAGGGGAAACCGGAGCACCTGGAGGAAACCTACATACAGTAGACACGGGGGGAACATGCAAACTCCACACAGAAAGGCCTGGTGGTGGAATCAAAACCAGGACATTCTTGCCGTGAAACTAAAGCTCTAAATTCCCAGTTTTAAACCAAACCAAATGCTTTGTCTATTACTTAAAAACATGTATTTAAAAACGTATCAAAACTCTCACCTCTTGTTCTTGGAGATATAGTCTCTGGAGCTGTCTCTTTTGCAGCAGATGAGGCCTGTGACCAGAGCCGTGATGAAGAGGATGATGAACACTGCGGTGCACAGTCCTGCGATCACAGCCGTCTGACCTGCACACACAGAGGAAACGACACCGGTCTGACATCTCCTTCAAGACGTCAGCATTCATACTTTTGGCTCACGGTACAGCTACAAATAATGTATAGTTTTTAAGAAATCTAAAGTCCATTCATGCATGAAGTCAAATCAAGTCAAAGGGACTGTCGAACAAACATAAATGTGTTCTGTGTCTTGTCAGCTTTCGTAGGAATATCTTTTCCAGTAATACCTTGAGGCAAATCTGCAAATTGAATGTTGCAGTGTGGAGGAGCCCAGCCTGGGTCACAGTGGCACTCTCTTTTGTGATTACAAACCTGTGGAAATAAAAATATGGAAGTACATATTATATACACATGTACATCTTTACGATCACTGTTGAAGTGCTTGAGTTTCACATTTTGACTCACCCCGTGGTCGTTACATTTCTTAGAGCAATCATCAGCAGTGCCATAAACGGCTATATCCTGGCATTGGTTATCCAGGCAAACCTGTGCACAACATCAAATCAGTTTTCCTTGACTTAAAGGAACAATATGTTAGAAAAAAATGACTCAGGTTGCCAGATATGCAAATTAATCCAGCTAATGATTTGATAATCATAACAAGACCTTTTTTAGTTCTGGCAACCCGGATCATGGACTTTCGGATTTTATGAAACAGTGGAGGCGGGACATTAACATGAAAACATGAAAAATAACAACATTTAGGGGCTGTAAAACTACATTTTAATTTTGAATATCTTGGTTGAACTACTGTTAAAGAAGTGTTGGGAAAGAGCATGTTTTATTAATGCCTTTTGGCGGATTAGGACCCTTTAATGATGACAGATTATGGCCCTTTAACGATGACAGATTAGGGCCCTTTAATTATGACAGATCAGGGCCCTTTAACGATGACAGATTAGGGCCCTTTAATTATGACAGATTAGGGCCCTTTCATGATGACTGATTATGGCCCTTTAATGATGACAGATTAGGGCCCTTTAATGATGACAGATTAGGGCCCTTTAATGAGGACTTGACATGAAATCTTACATAATACTCCTTTAAAGAACTATTTTCCCAAAGAGAATGGATTTACCTTATTAGATCCACACTTGGTGCCATTTGGGACCATGTCGATATTTCTGGACTTGTCATCATCCACAGCAATATTGCATTTAATTAAGTAGCGCACAGTGAACACCGCCCTCTTCCCCGTGATGGAGTCGCCGCCATCTTCACAAAATATAGATCCACATTTCAGATTACTGCAAAAGTTTGAAGCATTAGTTTTAAACAGCTCAAAGGTGAAAAGGATCCGTGGGTGAAGCGTGTGAGCGTACTTTGAGGAACAAGCGACGTATCTGTCTGCGTCCATGCCACAGTTGGCCCCCTCCTGCCCCTGTCTGTTCAGATCAAAACAGGCGTCGTGTGCAACCTTCGCACCTAAAAGAAAAAAGCATAATAATAATGATAATAATACATCAAACTTGTATAGGGCTTTTTTGGACACTCAAAGACATGAGGAATAAAATACAATAATAAAAAAGGGGTTTACGGAAAATCTTGTTTGAAAAGATGGGTTTTTAGACTGATTTAAAGTTTGGTAGGGAGTCAGAGTTTCTAATGGGCAGTGGGAGTGAGTTCCAGAGGGTTGGGGCGGCAATGGCAAAGACTCTGTCCCCCAAGGTCCGGCGGTTAGTGCGGGTGATGGGAGTGAGGGTTAGTGTGGGTGATGGGAGTGAGGAGGTGAGTGTGGGTGATGGGAGTGAGGGTTAGTGTGGGTGATGGGAGTGAGGAGGTGAGTGTGGGTGATGGGAGTGAGGGTTAGTGAGGGTGATGGGAGTGAGGAGGTGAGTGTGGGTGATGGGAGTGAGGAGGTGAGTGTGGGTGATGGGAGTGAGGGATAGTGTGGGTGATGGGAGTGAGGGATAGTGTGGGTGATGGGAGTGAGGAGGTGAGTGTGGGTGATGGGGGTGAGGAGGTGAGTGTGGGTGATGGGGGTGAGGAGGTGAGTGTGGGTGATGGGAGTGAGGAGGTGAGTGTGGGTGATGGGAGTGAGGAGGTGAGTGTGGGTGATGGGGGTGAGGAGGTTAGAATCAGCTGAGCGAAGGCGGCGGGTGGGTTGGTGTGGTGCTGTTGTAGGGGGCGGGGCCAGGTTATGGAGGGACTTGTAGGTGAGGAGAAGGAGCTTGTACTGGATGCTGTATTGAACGGGAGCCAGTGGAGCTGCTGGAGGACAGGGGTGATGTGTTCTCTGGACCGGGTGTGGGTGAGGAGGAGGCGAGCTGCAGAGTTCTGGATGTATTTCAGTTTTTAGAGATGGGAGGAGGGAAGTCCGTAGAGGAGGCTCAGTAGTCGAGTCTGGAGGTGATGATGTTTATTTAAATATGTATCGCTTCCAAGGAAAGGTCTTGCAAGAAACCGGAACAAAGAAGTGTGTGTTATCTGCTGATTCACAAAAAGCTCAATTTCTTGTATGTGAACCTGGAAAGATTCAGATGATAACAGAATCGTCTTTGTTTCCATGAGAACAGCCACAACTCTCTGTCCATTATCTGCAGGCTTTCTCAACAAGTGAAGTAGGAATCACAAAGAAAGGGGGTTTTCTGTGAATGATCTAATGAGACAAATAGTAACGGGTTAAATTTGGTCGAATGTAATTAAAACAAAATTCAACACAATCATAAACAAGACAAAAAGGAAAAGGCTCAAGTAAAGATCATTGCGCCCTTTCACATTAGTTTTATCAATTGATTAAACAAGAGCTATATATAAAAAACTGAATATGAGGGAAAACATATCCTTTGCATTTCTTTCATTTGCATAGATCTTTTTTATAAGAGTTAAAGTTGAAGCTGGCTTTGGAAGTTCTCAGGTTTTTCATTTCATACATTAGAAGGAACTTTTTGTAATCTGGTACATTTCAACACTTTGTTTAAACAGCCGGTGCAGCACAGAGCTTTGTTAATGAGGCTAATTGGGTGTTTTTGTGAGGTCCCATTTGTTTTGTGCATGTTCCCATTTCTCTGCCATTTATGGAAGGACGAGGGCGTTACATGAGAGGAGCAATGATTTGAAGTTTGAAATGTGATGAACAAGATTCTCAGAGACTTTCCCAGTACATTTTTAGTTTAACATATTCTACATGACGTCAGCAGTTTCAATCATAATGGATTATTACACCCAGAGACATTTTACCAATACTAGAATAGATCTTCTTGGATTAGCTGTATATTATTTGAGTCCTCCCCTCATCTCAAGAACTGTAAGTGTTTGCTACAGTGTGATTGTGTTTTATTCTGGTCGTGTTGATTGATTCTTCTCATGATTCCAATGTGTGCACATAATAATAAGTCTAAATGTAGAGTGTGGTGGTACCTCTGCCGAACAGCCTCCAGCAGTGCTGCTGGTGCGTGGGGCAGGCTCCGTTGAAGCAGTATCCGGGGCTCTGGTCGTAGCAGGGTTTTCCGTTCATCACAAAACTGTCGTCGGGACAAACCTCAGATGTTCCAGAGCAGAACTCGGGCAGGTCACACTCTCCGCCCGCCCTCCTGCAGACCGTCCCCGCGGCTCTGAACTGAAATGTAAACGGATGACCATGAGTCCCTCCACACAGACACGTGCTGTAAATGATCATGACATCATTTGTGACTTTTGTTTACGTACCTAGTATTGTATTTTATTTCACTGAGACACACACTGTATATGATCATGAAGACTGTTGCACCGCTTTCTATTAAAGTATTCACTTTTATAATAGCACTGGATGATGAGGAGAGTTCTACCAGAGAAGCCTCTATTTAGATAGAAAGACAGATAGATACTTTATTTGACACATTTGTGATTTTCGTTTACGTTCATTAGTGTTTATTTTTATTATTATTATTGTATTTCATTTTGTTATTGCAGTTTTTAAAGGACCCCAGAAGACAATAACAATAGAAAAAACACAATATAATGTGATACATAAATACTTTTGATTCTAATGTAGTCACAGCTGCCCTGGGGATTGTGGCCCCTCCCACCATCACCCACCATTTATTTTATATAAGAATACAATGAATTGAATTGAATTGAATATAAAGTCAAATACTTGCATAGAAACAACATCCAAATCAAAGTGAACATACATTCAAGATAATTATGGATTATAATAAAATGGTTACAAAGAAAGAGTCTTGCCACTGAACAACAATACTGCAGTAATACTTCTGTGGTATCTATCTTAACCACGTACAGTATTAGTATTTTATAAAGACATGGTTTCCAGTCCGTGAGTCCATCATCCAGGAGGAAGGATGTGGCGGGTTACATGGAATCATTAGGATATATCTCACTGCGTTTCCTGTTATTATTTAACATGGCTCAGTGGCACCACACTTCACCACTTTTACTGCTCTCACGTGGTTTGCTGCTTTCTCAACCTTCAGTGGGTGATATTTATAAATGCAGGGAGTGTCTGCAGAGTATGATGACCGTCGTCTACTGACAATGAAGCCAGCGGAGGACCTTAGCGGGAAAGGTTAACATTTAATAACATGGCCGTGTTTCCAGAGAAAATATACAGAGGGCTGCAGACGGGAGGGCAGATGCTACAGCACTCGATCACACAGCACAAATAGAAATGACCTACATTTAAAGCTGGGGAACCTAACTTTCAGACCACTCGAAAAACAAAAATCACTATGAAAATAGCGTTCACATGTATTCTTTGGACTTTGTCACACTATTTTTGTAGACAGAAAAGTGAAAAAGAGAGAACCACCATCACTCGGCCAATCAGCTCTAAGTAGACGAAAAGGGCGACTCCCATAGTGGAAACATCTCACTCTGGTATCAAAGAACCGGGGTTATGTTAAGTAACCTAAATTCTTCTACAACAGCATGTTGTAACTAGAATTTTACACAACATTGTACTTTTAAAATACTCTTTTAGTGAGGACAAATAAAAATGTCTTATGTATGGCTGTTTCAGAGACGCTGATGGAACAAACACACAATCAATTATAAAAACATCGGTGTTATTTGGTAACATTTCTTAATTCCAGAACGATAACATCTTGAGTTTGATTTACAGCAAGAGAAAGGAACAATAACAACCACTTTTAACAAGCATTATTTTCGATTGAGTCAGAGCTGGCTGCAAGTTACAACCAGAAATGTCCCATAAATAAAGCATCTCTTTCCTTAAAAAAATGAAAATATGTTTGAATGATACGTCTAGTGTCTTGATAGCAACACGCCACTCTCCTACATTTAACTTATATTAAATTACACATGGAATATCGACAGACAAAGACCTCATCAGGCTTACATTGTCACTCTCCCGTCAGACTCTGGTGAATACACTCCAGCCTCGCCTTCTCCAACAGCTGGCATCACGGACAAACAGCTAATCCGATAAGTGCAAATGCTTCATCTTTTTGTAATTGGAGAGAGTTGACTCATTATTAGACAGAGCCTGTGTGATCAATACAGAGTCTGGAGGACTGATGGAAACACTATACAAACATGACTGTATATCATAAGATAAGATAAGATAAGATAAACCTTTATTAGTCTCACAGTGGAGAAATTTCAGTGTCATCGTTGCGCACATTACAGCAGAGAAAGGAAATAAGAGCACTCAGATTGCACACATCAAAGTCTATTATTTAAGATAATAGACAATAAATTTAAGATAAAATAAAATAAAATAGTAAAATAAAATATTGGGGCGACAGTAGCTCAGTTGGTAGAGCATTGGCCTTAAGGCCAGAAGGTTGTGGGTTCAATTCCCACCTCTGCACCTTCTCCACCGACTCGCCCTGATGACTGCTGTCGTTGTGTCCTTGGGCAAGACACTTAACCCCACTTTGCCCAAAGCCCCCGCTGAAAGATCAAGGCTATGCTCAACTCAGAGCAGCCGTCCTCCTGTGGACTCACCACCTGCAGAGGGTCAGTGAGGGGCTGGTGCTATGAGACTTGGGTGGCATCTCTGACTGCCACCCCCCTGACCCAGAAATGGATTAAAGGGTAGAAAATGGATGGATGGATGGATAAAATAAAATAAAATAAGAAACTCTGGGCTATAATATCTGAGTATCATTATTTGATTCAATATTATTAGCCTACTCTGAAGATGGTTGAGATTAGCGAGCGCTTGAGGTCAGATGGTCGGTAATTTGGACGCACAAAGCTGATACCATGAAGCGCGGTGTAAGCGTGGGGCAGTTAAGGCGGTAATACTGTACGTCTCATGATGCTACGACAGCTGAAAACTCGTGAGGGATTGAGGCCTAATTATGGTGGTCCTGGAAGTGGCTGGCTATAGTTGACACCCATTCTAAAGGATTTTCTTTCTCTGCACTAGAGCATAGCTTGGAGACATTGTATGATTAATCGTGTGTAACCGGATGAGCATAAGACGTTTGTTTTTGTAGTTGTTGTTGTTGCACACAAAGGGAAACACAGACCCTCAATGCGGCACAGTCTCAACGCCAATACAGGGAACTCCAGAACCAAGAAATACACTTAGCTCGGCATTACGTCAAATGTCAATAATAGAAATAACTCAAACTGTACAGAATTATTTTACACTTAGGTCTTGAGGGAATTTTAAAAGTACAAAGTTGTGTAAAAATGTAATTACAACATGCTGTTTTAGAAAGTTAAGGTTACTTAACATAACCCCAGTTCTTTGATAAAGGTAAGGTTAGAAAATTAAATTGTATTTCATTTTTAAAGGATAAATCTCTGACCATGGAACACGCCAATATTATATAGAGAATTTTTCAACAATAATAAATATGTTGGCAAAACTATGACCAGTAAGATTTGCTGGAGCAGAACAGTTGAACCAATGACAAGGGACGTCAAGGATTTGAATTAATCTTGACCAATCACGAGGCTGCGGGGATGAACATGGGCGGGTCAAACCAGTACTTGTCTTCAAAAAGTTTTTCCCTCTCCTCAGAATTTGAAAAGTAACTGATGTTTACTTTAAAATGGAAAAAACTAAATAAAATAGCAACATGCACTTGGAGAGCGCATACCCCACCAAGGCCACACATACTTCCCAGAATTCTAACGGGATCTTAACCACCATCACATTCCAATTTACTTTTTATCTCAGCACCACACACACACACACACACACACACACACACAGACAGACACAGACACACACACACACACACACACACCCACACACACAGACAGACAGACAGACAGACAGACAGACAGACAGACAGACACACACACACACACAAACACACACACACGTGCACACGCAGACACACACACACACACACACACACACACACACAACAGACACAGACACACACACACACCCACACACACCCACACACACAGACAGACAGACAGACAGACAGACAGACAGACAGACAGACACACACACACACAGACACACACACACGTGCACACGCAGACACACACACACACACACACACACACACACACACACACACACACACACACACACACACACACACACACACAGACAGACAGACAGACAGACAGACAGACACACAGACACACACACACACACACACGTGCACACGCAGACACACACACACACACAGACACACACACACACACACAGACAGACACAGACACACACACACACACACACACACACACACACACACACACACACACAGACAGACAGACAGACAGACAGACAGACAGACAGACAGACAGACAGACACACAGACACACACACACGTGCACACGCAGACACACACACACAGAGGCGATCGGACGGGTAATCATTGTGTTGAATAGGTTGAAGAAGACTTTTTTGATAGAGAAATAGAGAATTTAAAATAGAGAGAGTGGAGATTGCATGTTCTCCCCGTGTCTGCGTAGGTTTCCTCTGGGTGCTCCGGTTTCCCCTACCACTAAAAACATGTTCAATAGGTCTGGCATGCGCCTCCTGTACTGGCCCCGCTCCCATCTCTGTGTGGAGTGAGAGACAAATGCCCACAATTGTAAAGCGCTTTGGGAATACAGATTACATACTTACTTAGTATATTTTTCTAATATTCTGCAACAGATATAGCCTATGCCAGGAGTTCTATTTTACAAGCCCAATATATATTTGTGAAATCGAGATCCCCTGGTGAGTCAAAACCATTGTAAAGTGGTTCATGCGAGTCATTAGTTGCTGAATTTGACCTATTTATCTATTACAATGTGTCAAATAATTGGTTAAATACATGGACAGCTTTTAAAAAACAAAATCATTATCGCGGTCCCCAAGCTTAGCGTCTTCCTATGGATCGCGCCCCCCTCTTTGAGAACCTCCACTGCATTTGTATGTTATTGTATGTATTTGTACAGTATGTATTTGTATGTTGTTGTATGTATTTGTACAGTATGTGTTTGCATGTGTGTGACTGTACCTGGCAGTTCTCGCAGCACCGTCCTTGAGCGCACTGGGAGCCGAGCGTGAGGCGGCACCTCAGAGGGTCACAACACGGATTCTTACATTCCTGCACAAACAAAAACATGCTGTGTTTGGTTTCACCTTGATGCAAGAGTTCAAGGAGCAGAACAGATCGCTGCCAAGATATTATGTCCACGGTAAGGAATGGGAGCAGAAAAGTATTGTGAAATCGCCAGCGAGCAAAAACATCAGCCAGAACTGTGAGCCCGAAGCGTCAAAATTAAGTAAAGCTGCAACAGGAAACTTTTCTAGTAGAGGATCCATGTTTAGTACTTTCCAAGAATGGTCTGCTGTATTTGGTTCTCCAGAATGCAAATGTAAAATCAAGGAGTTTACCATCGGAGGACAGACAAACAGGAAGCAGGCACCATAGAGTTCTATACTTCTATAGTGAAAAGTATTGGGTTGTGATAATAATAATAATAATAATAACACATTTCATTTAAAAGCGTCTTTCAAAACACCCAGGGATACTGTACAGGACATAATAAAAACATTAATATGCTCGATTGTCCTTGAATCTCATGACTATTCCCCTTTTAGCGAGACACATACGTCATTTACTGTATGTAGTATTGAAGTAATCCAGACAGAGAGAATAACACAATAACAACTACAACAAGACATATTAACACACTTTTAAGACAATGAAATGCTTAAAATTATGAGTTTTTTTAAACAGAAAGTGGGACTTGGACTTAGTAGAATTTTCACATTTCCTCTTCCTCACCTTTTAATTGCAATTTATTATTATTGACTCTATTTAAGCAGGAAAGTCCCATTCCATAATCTCTTATAGGGGAGTCCCGGCCCCTGATAAGGCGCGGGTTGGGGAGGGTGTTATGTGAAATATTGCAGATGTTTTTAGTGGTAGGGGACACGGGGAGAACATTCAAACTCCACACAGAAATGACTGGAGGGGGAATCGAACCCAGGACTTTCTTGCTGCACCTCCGTCTTACGCCTCTTATTGATATGGACTGTCCCTAATTATTCCTCAATAGTTCGGTTCAACTGCCTCGTCTAAATGTGACTGTTTTTGCTTGGATATGTAATTATTATGTATCGAGTTTCACATGTGACTTCACTTGGCTACGTTCACGTTAAATCTGTGGAGAGGCGAGTCTTCTCATTGTCAAAAATCAGTTTTTTAAAGCGAGGAATGAACACGTTTTATAACAAAGCAAAGCAAAAACATATCCATCACAATAAGCTATGGTATTATGATAGATAAGGTATTGGACCACTTTACAAAAAGGAAAATGCAAGAAGATCAAAGTTTCTCATCCCGCCTTTGGATTTACAGAAAGTCTCGCTGATAAGAACCCAGACCAGACCTTTAGCGGTGCCGTCACTCCCAAAGCCAACCGCCCTAAAGTCTCCCTATCTCCACAGGAAACCCTATATCTTCTTCTGTGACCCCCACGCAGCTATTACCTCCAGTGTCCCACAGTCGCACTCCTCCCCGGGGTCCAGGAGGGCGTTGCCGCAGCGTGGGCCCGTCTCGATGCTCTGGGAGAGGGATGGTTTGTGTAAGCAGTTGGGACGCGCCCGGACCAGAAACTCGGCCAGCTGCCCCTCGCTGCAGCTGCTGAACAACTCCGGGAACGACTGACTTCCTGTCCTGGTGAGCGCAGATTGAGAACAGATTTGTACGAAAATGACATCAACTAAAACAAGATTCACAGAGGTTTCAAAGTGGGATGTTTCCTGTTAGAGAGACGTTTAAAATTCTTCCAGATTTTGGGTTTAGATGGAGAAGGTTTTCTAGAAGCACTAACAAACACGTATTTTATTACATGCATATTTTATTTGAACAGGTCCCTGATGGATTACATGGACATGATTCAATTTTATTCCATTTATTTTTTGTATAAATGCCCTGAAGTTGAGAGAATCAAATAGAAACCATGTTACGAGGCTCAGAATTATGTCCAAGATACACTACTGTAGGTACAATACGCAGCGGACCCGAAACAACAGTGGGAAAGGCTGCAATGTTGTTTAGACCCATATTGGCTTTTCATCAGTGGCGAGTTTGATCAGAGGGAATGAGCTGCTCTGCCCTTAGGAAACGTATATTAGGAGAGGACAGGCCCGAGTGTCACGTCGCCATAGTGTTTGCTAAAGGCAGAAGAAGCCGTTTTGGACATAAGCAAACTGGAGGCAATTTACTTATATGGGCATTTGTGATGAAAGGGCAGATGCAAACTAACCTTATCTTTAAATGGTTGCGAATGAAAGGATCTGATTGGTCAATTGTTATGGCTCAATAGCTCAATTTATGGCAAGGCAAGTTTATTTGTATAGCACAATTCATACACAAGGCAACTCAAAGTGCTGAACAAAACAAGAAAGCATTAAAATCATAAATAATCACAGAACATTAAAAAGAAAAATATAAAATCCCTCAGTTGTATGCACAGCTAAACAGAACTGTCTTTAACCTGGTTTTAAACATTGTCATTGAGGAGGCCTGTCTCACATCTTCAGGAAGACTGTTCCAGATTTTAGCAGCATGAATCTGAAAAGCAGCCTCCCCATGTTTAGTTCTGACTCTGGACACTAACAGGAGTCCAGTCCCTGTGCTCCTCAGAGTCCGGGCTGGTTCATATGGGACTAACATGTCACTAATATATTTTGGTGCGAGGCCATGGAGAGACTTGTAACAAGCAGAGCTGTTTTAAAGTCTATTCTCTGAGCCACAGGAAGCCAGTGCAGAGACCTGAGGACCGGACTAATGTGGTCGTATTTCCTGGTTCTTGTCAGGACTCGAGCTGCTGCATTTTGAATGTACTGCAGCTGTTTTACAGCCTGTTTGGACAGACCTGTGAGCAGGCCATTGCAGTAGTCTAACCTACTGGAGACAAATGCATGGATAAGAATCTCCAAGTCTGCTTTAGACACTATGTTTTTGATCCTGGCAATGTTGATCCTAGATTTATGAAGACAATACCAAAATATAAACACCAGGATTATACAGAGTGCTAAACTCAACCATGGATCTTTAAGCCCAAATCGGCGAGTGTGACAAAAAAAAACGTTTACTAAGGTTAATAAAGAGTTTTTACGTTTCAATGAAAGTCAATAGGAGCGAAACTTGGAGCAAAACCTTCCAGAGCACTTCCCTATTGGCCTTTGTTAAGCTAGCGGGTTAGCATTGTCCAACTCTATACAGTCTAATGGGAAAGGTGCTTCACTTGCCTAGTTCCAGTGTATGCAAATGATATGGATGCATTATTTTCGGGGGGGCTGCAGTGTAGAATGGCAGCCCCACGTGTGTCAGTCTGCCCCAGGACAGCTAGTTCAACAGATTACCAGTGGATGATTAATGCAGTGAAGGGCATATCTGACCGTCCAAAAAACCTTTTAAGACGGAAACACAATATAAATATGTTTTACGGCAAACAGCCCAAGCTGAAAAGTGTTCCAATAACAACTGGTTTGCAAGTAAAGCAGAGTATTTACTTTATAAGGCTATTCATTGGACATTTTATAAGAGTCTGAGCTCTCACTGACTCACAGACCCAAATTTGGTTAAAATGAGAGAGAGATGTATTTGAATGCTGATGTGGTTTAAAAGTAAGTAGTAAGTAAGTAAGTTTTTATTTATATACCGCCTTTTCACTGCAGATCTGAGTCTCAAAGCGGTTTACAATTGTTAATTTTTGGGCATTTGACTCTCACTCCACACAGAGATGGGAGTGGGGCCAGTACAGGAGGCACATGCCAGAACTATTGGACATATTTTTTGTGGTAGGGGAAACCGGAGTACCCGGAGGAAACCTACGCAGACACGGGGAGAACATGCAAACTCCACTCAGAAAGGCCCTGGTCCGACCGGGATTCGAACCCAGGACCTTCTTGCTGAGAGGCGAGAGTGCTATCCACTCAGCCACCGTGCCGAGTGGAACAAGCTGATATTTGGGGGAAAAAATATCAAAGCACAGGAAAGGGGTGATGAAGAAAGGACTTTATACATAAGATAACATGGGAAGTGAGTAATAGAGAAAGTATCTTGGGATCTGAGTCTCATGAGTAATCTTGGAGTGAATACCTGAGCTTGTCGGTCATCACGCAGTTGGTGCTCAGAGAAGGACCACACACGCAGCCGGGACCGTCGTGCGACAGGCCGAAGCTGTGCCCCATCTCGTGAGCGATGGTGGAGGCCAGGCCGATGGGGTCTCTGTGGTGGTCCTGAGGAGAGGCACAAGCAATGGAATCAATGACACATAAAAAACACATTTATGACAGGATCAAAAGTGTAAAAGAAAAACTGTAGTTACCTGATTCACTCCTCCTGAGTTTTCGGTGCACATGGCAAACTTGTTGGCCAGTCCGACGGTATTGCCTTCGAAGTCTATCCCTCTGTAAAGTACAAATATTACAATTACAATGGATTTACCCTATCTTAGTGATACTGTATGGAGAGTACAGGGGTTTTGGGGTAAATCCACAATTCAAAGCCACCATTTACTCAACCCATCTAACCACTTCCTTGTTCTATCAGTAGTTTTTACATGAGCTCTCATCTGAAAGCTCTTTTTGACAAGTTTTCAAAATATAATATGTTTAGGATGAAGACAGCAGTTGTGGTCTGATTCAAGATTAAGATTAAGATTAGGAGTCATTTATGCGTCCCACAGTGGGGGAAATGTCAGTGTTGCATCACCAGAAACAGATCAGTAGACAGACACAGATAAAAAGTCTAGAATAAAAAGTATAAAATCACTATCTTTAGCATAATAACTACAAAAACTCTTGGAATAATTCTTTATACTTGCTTGTTATTATGCCAAAGGTAGAGATTTTATACTTTATTTTTAGGCTAAAGTCAAAGATGAATTCACAAAATGTAACTTTTCCACAACTCTTTCTGGTGGGACCATCACAATGTGTTATTTATGGAGAAAATGTTACATAACCCAGCTTTACGAAAGAAACATCAAGCAAAGCATAAAAATAACAATGTATTTTCCCCTCTTTGATTTTGTCATTGTGAAACTTTACATGAATAAAAACCTCATTTAAATGCAAATAGTCCGTTCTCACGTCACAAACTGTGCGTTGTCGTGCTTCACCCTCTTCAGCAGGTCGCTTTGTCGCCACATGAGGAAATGGTCCAGAGTGATTTCAGAATTCTCATCAACATCCATCAAGTTTTCATTTGTCCAAATCTCCAGCCCCACCAGGACAATGCGCGTGTTTATGGATCGATAAACCTGAGACAGAGACAGAGCGGCGTTATTATTGTTAAAGATATGAAGGCATTAATCTAATATTCTCACGGAGGAACCAGCGCCGCACCTTGTCAACGTGATTCACAACATGGAGGATGCGAGACTTGGTTTGGCTGCCGTAGCGAAGGTACTGCACCACAGAGAAACAGGAAGTGAGTTTTTATATAATGCATTGTATAATCAAATGTCTAAAATTAATCACAGGGAAAATGATCGAGATGTTTTTACCTCAGCTTTGTCCACAACCACATACAGCTCAACAAAGCGCTCAGATTCGGAGCTCGGCTTGGATTTCTAAACAAGAAAAAAACCAGAGAGAATGGAAAGCAAATGTGTTAGTTTGTTGTCATGGGAAAAAAACACTCGGGAGGAAGTGCACATTCGAGAAGTAGTGTAAACGATAGAATTTCAGACGCGACTTTGCAGGAAATCTGAACAGCATTTCAAACAAGAATGGTTGGTATCACAGGGCAAGGTGGGCAAGAATATTTGGTTTTAATTTAAGTTTTAATAATATGTGCACTACTGTGATATACTGTATCTGTACTCATTTAATTGCCAGTTTTGCAAAAAAAACAAAAACAAAGCTGCTTTTCATTAGCCGTGAATCTCACACATAAGGCCCAACAGTGAAGTGATTGACAGGTGTAAGTCCCGCCTTCTGCACGTCAACACATCATGAGGGTGAATCTCAGCTAGCCCCAAAGTTGAATACTTTTGATGACTCTTTGCATTGGGAAATTAAATACAATACATTTTAGCAGATACAAAAGTGAATTAATTCACCCACTTTAGCCCAAAAGACACCTAAAATTTACATCACCTGCCGTCACTGGTTGTAATGCTATTATTAATAAGTTATTTGTTATCTATTGCTACCATTTACATTAAGTTAGAACAGATATGTACAGATTTAAGATAATAATTTACGTATTTAATTGACTTATGTGAGCTTGTGGACACATAATGAAAAAGAAATAATATATTGGCCGCAGTAAGGCTTTTATAGATAAGTATCACAACACTATATTTCCTTTGTTTACGGGCTTAGTCCGGGCTTAGTAATACCTGTTTGGAACCAGTTCAATCCTAGTTTACTGAAATCCGAGTTTAGAAGAGCAATGTAGGTTAAGGTTCTTATTGTTTTTTTGCAGCAGGAAAAGCAAACACCGGAAAACACCAAGCCCTGAAATATTATTAACTGTAGTTGTTTGTTTGTTGTACACATACCCAGGACTTGGAGCGGAAGAGTGCGGCCGGCTCGGGTCCCGGCTCGGGTCCCGGCTCCTGGTCCACGTCGTACAGCTCTGAGCCGTTGTTGTTGGGTGAGTCGTTGTGGCGGTAAACGGCGTGGTCGCCCTCATCCGACTCTCCCAAGGGTTCGATCAGATACAACTGCTGCTGCGCTCTCACAAAACCACTGCAACAGGAGAAAGAACACACAATACAACACTCATTTATAAGATTTAATGACATTAGAAGAAAGCAGAACGTTCGTCTCATCAGTAGTTCATGCTTTGGTGGATTTTGAGTTTTTCCAGAAACTTTAAAAGAGGTGGTTTACTTTGCTTTCATTTATTTCAAAAGGGGACAAGGCAATTTAATAAAAGTCATGAATAAACTTGAGTAAGAAAGCCAGAATTAGCCAAGAGTAAGAAACTAGTCTGGGTCACCATAGAGAGGGGAAAGACAGACTTATTGGACGTATCTTTAGCGGTAAGGGAAACTGGGGACACCGGAGCTGAAGTTGAAGAGGTTATTATTCACATCACAAAGGAGAAATTTAGAAACCCTGAGTGATCTTTTTGCAAAATGGCAGGAAATGTGCAAACAGGTTAAAAGTGAAAAAGATAAAGGGTATGTGACGTGCAATACAGGTCACTTATGTACGTCTGTCTGTCGTCCCTTATGTTAAAATCAATAATAGAAATAAATATTCTTGCTACCCAGTGGAAGCACCCTCATTCACTGTCTTGCCTACATTTAGTTTTATTTTCTGGTTTCTTTCTGCCCTGGACTTTTGTGCCTTTCCGTACGTGTTTCTGCTTTCGAAATAAATCCCACAGTCATTTGTAATGGTGGACAAAACATCATTAAGGTTGAAACTAGTGGTTATAATACGGATATGAGCGGATGATTGAGTGTCCAAAAAGCGCTAATAACACCGATGCATTATTATTATTATTACTATGACTTTAGCCTAAAATAACAGAGCACGAAGAGGAGGTGAGTGGAGAGTTTCTCACCTGAGTCCTGAGCACACGCCCACGCTCACAGAGGAGTCCTGCAGCCCCTCGATGCGGCCGTGATAATAGCAGTGCTCCTACACAAACAGTACGGCTTCGTTCAGAGGAAAACATGGGCTACACGTTGTGCGTTCAGCCGCGGCCGACAAAGAATCTCTTTGTGTCAAATCTCAATGTATTTGTGACTCACAGGTTGGGAATGGCATTTCTGCTGCACTTTGGATCCTAACAACATCCTATCAACTCACAAAATATAGTTCAAAAGTTTATTTATTGCTGTAATCCTAACCCTTATCCTTATTAGTGAAGCTAATATATAACAGAACAATTACATGTAAGGCAAGAAAATAGAGAACATAACTGCGTCATCATAAAATAAACTGCACTGGAATCTCCAATCCGAGGTAAAGTATTGCAAAGTTTTGAGATCAGGGTTGTTCATTGACCTGGATTATGTCTGACGCCGAAGTCAGAAGCTGCAGTAACATGAAGCTAAAATAAACAAAGATTATATGGTCTTTGAAATGCCTGGGAGAACTTCTGGCATGAAACCTAACCATGTCACGGATTAATAGGAGCGAGCGTTATGTGCGGAGCAACAGCTGACGCAGCAGAGCCGGCCTTTCATTGGTCCATAATGTCTTCTGTGAGGCGCATGGGGGGAGGCTACGCTAGTATGTACTATGTGCAGATTTCACAAAAGGATTGACAACTAGAAACTCTTTGATACTAAAATGAATTGACTTATTGTAATCCTATCAACATTGTGGTACCATACAATGTGAAGCTAATTTATATCACTTAAAACACACTACAATGCAAGACAATATTAAGCCTTTTGTTGCCTTTTGTTATTTAATGTTGATAATTATGCCTCACAGCTCAAAAAATCCGAAGTACAACAAACAGAAAAGATTATTTTAAGTCATTTAAGTAAGTAAGTACAATTTATGTAGAATATTTTTAAAGACCAAGGTCACACAAACCACGTTCAGAGTTCAGATATTGTTCCATTCTCTCCACACGGTGTTGACGGGAGCGAGAAGCTGAACACACTGGTCCATCAAAGCCTCTGACCAAACACCATCCATTCACTCGCTCAATACAGTCATACCTATACATGTTTTTTGTGCTAAGGGAAACCGGAGCACCCAGAGAAAACCTACGCAGACACGGGAAGAACAAACTCCACTCAGAAAGGCCCTGTTCCAACCGGGACTCAAACCCAAGACCTTCGTGCTAAGAAGCGAGAGGGCTAACCACTCAGCCACTGTGTGAGCCGCAATCATTAAAATCATAACAAAAAGCTTGACCATTGCATGTTGAGATGAATTACAGAAATAAATGCATTTTTGAATGATAATCAAATATTCTGAGTTTTACCTGAATTGTTGAATTATCGTTTATGTTCAATAATTACAGTTACAGTTACTTCTTATCCAAATTAAAACAATTAAATCATCACTGTGGTATTAAACTGGCATTTTGATGAGAATCACAAATCACAGATGTTTAATTTTGCACAAATTACGGCCAATTTCTAACTCAAATAAAGAATAATTTGTCTCTTGGTCAATGTCATCATCAAGAATCAGAAACCAGAATAAAAATGTGTCCATGGGCAAGACACTACTGCGTCTTTCCACTATCAAGTAAATTAGAAACAGACACAAAACGTTTTGAGCCGTTGCTAAATGTAGAGAACAGCTTTATAGAATGAACTCATGAAAAACTGAATCTATAAACTTTAACTCAGACGTCGAGGAATCTTACCTCATGTGTGGAAGTCGTCACCCGTTTTCCATCTTCAGTGTAATGTGTTTCAGAGAAGTTTCTGCTGATAAGGTTTCTACAGGGAAAACACATGCATGGAAATAAAACATACAAAGAGAAATGATTAATGAGAGCAGATGTTTGTGTTTATAAATGATTCAGGACAGATCACAGATTAGATAAGAGCGGTTTTAATCGTCCCACAGGGGGGAAAGTTCAATGTTGCAGCGCACATGGACCCTAGACGCTGGAGTACCTACCTTTGAAACCAAAAAGCACCAGCAACAGTATGTACTCAAATCCATAAGTAGCTCCCAGCTTTTGGTTCAATCCAGATTGTATATATGGATCTACATATACTTTACTCTATATACAAATACAGGTAATGGTTCTTCTAACACTTGCTTTCACAGACTTGTACATCTTTAAATCAGTAAAAAAAACTCAGCCAATCACCTCTCAGTATGTAAAATATAATATCATTTCTAACCAGATATAGACAGCAGGATGAAGTCTGATTTGTAAAATGTACTGCACCCTTACGGCCGATATATTAACGACTAAACCTTCAGTCTACCGTCTAAAGCAGGCATGTCCAAACTAAAGCCCACGAGCCAAATGCGGCCCACAGAACTATCTTACTTGGCCCTTTGGATTTAATGTAAAGTGGCACAAATTTCCCGAAACATCTTTTTGCTGCTCGTTTCCACGGTTCATCCTTTGTTATTAAAAATGCATGACTAAACACACATCTGGTGGCCCCCATGGATCTTTTTCTGCACTTAAATGCACTATCCATCAGTCATGCACGGCCCTGAATTGGCCCCTTGCTGCGTCGGTATTTCAATATGCAGCCCACTGTGAAAATAGTTTGGACACCCCCCGGTCTAGACAATTGGGTTAATTGTGTGTTTGTGCCTCTGCTTAGTTTTCTATGTTAAAATGAAATCTATTAGTCATTTTCTCTGTGGTTTATCAGCCTTTACCAATTCAATTTCACATTTACCTGTTTTTTTCCAGATGTATTGTGTGATTTTGTCCTTCAATTGCCAGACGATATTGCACTACATCTGGAAAGTCCTGACAGAGAATAATACACATCAGTGAGATTGTTGGAGTTAGGATTAAAGGAAATGAGTTGTGGAAAAGGCGGATATGACAAATAGTACAAATTACCTGTCTGTCAGAAAAGCTTCTCTTTGTCCTGAGCTGAAGTTTCTGAGGTCTCACAATCTCATAATGTTTCATGTGAGAGAATGAACTCGAGCTCTGCACAAGGAAAACTAAACAAAAACAAACGCAAAACAATAAAAACAAGTCTGAAAAAGAAAGAAAAGGACTGATTCAAATATGCAGCGGAGACAAAAGGAGTGACGTGTTCTCTCATTATGGAGAAGACACTGAGCTCTAGTTACTCACGATTTCTATGTCATTATAAAAGTGGACTAAAACAAAGCAGGACAAATAATTAGATAAATGCATTTTCGCAAACAATTATGTTGGCGTCTCAGTGTGAACTGAGTGTTGCCGATATTGTCATGCTGAATATTACTGAGTAGACAAAACACACAAAGGAACAATCCTGTTTGCAAATGCATTGAAAGAGGAGGATCTCAATCCGCAGAGACTTTTTAAAGAACTTATGACCAGGATATGTAGACAACACTATTGGACACTCATTTATACCGTTTATCAGCAAAAAAAAAAAAGTGGATTTGAGGGTGAGTTGTCCTTTAAGGAAATACATTTTCTAAATTCAAAACCGATCAGAACACATCAAGAATAGAGAAACGAGAACAGATCAAAATACACAGCAATGTGGTTTAATACAGGCCATTTCGAGGAAGTTAATAACTTTTTTTGAGCACACAAAAAAGAAAATCCTTCTTCATGTACAGTAGACATCTGCTCCAGCTTCAGTGAGCTTTAATTTTCAGTAATATGGAATAAAAAGGCAGCAGTATACAACGCAAGTAGGATTATGATAATAGTAATTACATTTAAATTAAAGTCAGGATTTCAATCAGGATTTCAACAACCTGGCTCAAACTGTAACTTCTCACGCGGCTTCTGACAATAACAGTCATATAAGAATACATATGAAGATAATGAACCACAGTGCACAATAACGAGTCGGCATCCAGCTTTTACGCACTGAAATAATGTGCGTAACTTTACCAAACTAATGCAACAAGCTAAAGCGCGATTGTTGGTTCGTAGAGGAACAGATGGAACTCACCAAACGCGAGCGACAGTGAGAACGAGCGGCTTCCCATCGCGACGCGCAGTGAGCGGCTCCACGGCGGCTCCGGCTCTGACTGAGCCTTGACTCAGCGCGAGCGTTTCCCTTCAGGACACGCCCCTCTCGTGACGTCATGTCGCTGGTGAGTAGTAATGAGTAAGCAATTAGTAATCATAAACAGCCAGCAAACCACGTGATTAAGATTACTGCGTTCATAAATGGACCATGACTTAATAATTACAGACTGTTTTGTCTGATTTAATGTCAATGGTTTGAGGAGAAACTGTGTCATAAATATTCTCATTGTAAGCTTTCAAGTTTGAAGCCAATATTTAGGCCAATTTTAGTCATAAATAATACAAAAAATATAGTGCAGAATAAAATAAGATTCATTCCTTCGCATTCTAATTGTGTTAAAGCTGGGGCACTGTAATTCCAAAGCACAAATAATGCAGTAGAATCCATGCAACTAGTTTTTGGTCTGAAAACAGTTTATTTTGTGCATTCGTTTGTTGGCTTCTGTCACATTTTAAAAAGAGGACCGCCCACACTCAGCCAATCAGCTTTCAGCCTAAAGAGTCAAATAGTGACTCCCAGGGTTCTGTCTCACAAGTATGTGAAGGATAACACATTTTCTAATAACATGAACACAGATTTGATCACAATATTTCACTTTTACAAGACTAAATCCAATCAGATCCACAGACTCCAACCTCCTCACTCCCATCAGGACTAAACACCGAACCATGGGGGACCGAGCCCTTGCTGCAGCTGCCCCCACTCTCTGGAACTCAATCCCTCAAACTCACTACAGAACTTTAAATCTCTTCTCAAAACTCACCTGTTACAGCCTTTCCTTAATTTTGTTTTTCAATTTTTATTTCTATGTGTTTTGTAAAACGTCTTTGAGTGTCCAAAAAAGCGCTATGGAAGTTTGATGCATTATTATTAAACCACTTTGCAGTAGCCTGGCCTTAAGCATCCGTACACTCTTGTCAATCATTTCCCTGCATGTAACGAAATGTAAATTGTACTATGGTGTGGTACAACCAGCCTGACATTGCAGTAATGTTCGCTGGATGTTTATGTGTATTCATCAAACTGTGAGACTAATAAGGACCTTTTTTTCTTCTAGTCTTTGGGTAAAATTGCATTGAACATTATGAGACATACTGTACATAATAATAAATACCAATAACAAATTCAGGTGTAGTCTTTTAATGCAGTGAGATACAAACTCTTTGTACAATAATTTATCCATAATTGTTGAAAACACAATAATACGTAACATTTTTGTCATTTTGTGTGCACGCAATCTTTAAAACATACACAATACTCTACATATTTTACACACTGTATAACTATAGGTTTGTAATATATGTGGTTATAAGACTTTGAATTGATGAAACTGAACTGGATGTTGTCGTGTTACGCTGCAGCCTTCTGACTGCGCTCCACCGCCATTCTCTCCAAACGCTCGGTGTAGAAGCCGTTGAAGTCAAGTCTGCGGGATGCATTTTTATTAGCAGCGGTACATCCATGAGACAGTATCCATGACGATATAAGCAAATACCTGTAAATGATGCTGATCATGCTGTGTTCGCAGTCGTTGGTGCTGTAGATGCTGAGCTTGTCCAAAAGATCCAGCAGCAGCAAACTGAAGTTATTGTCAAACTTGTTAATGGTGGCTTCAAAACTTGCATCAGACTGGAACGTGTCTAGATGCTCTGCTGAAGACTGAAAACATGGACATAACAGAAATATTATCCATATTAATTCATTACACACACACAAACATAGACAAACATAGATATAGGGTAGAGATAAATACATACACAATATTTATTCACAATTTATCAGCACATAATGGACTGGAGAGAAGACAAATGTATAAACTCCCACCCCCAGTAACATAAGTAACTTTTTAAAAATGGATTCTAATATATGTATTAGAAGAATCATTTTGTCTTGAACATTAAATTTAAGCAACGACTACAAGAATGATCAATGAAAGACCCGTGTTTGCCAATAAAGCATGTGGGCCAATGCCTCTCCTCGCACAGGAAGCTACAGGAAGCTAGCTACAGCAGAATCTCCTGTTGTTTATGATTGAAGCGTGGCTAACCTTGGTGTTGAGCCTCTTCTTGTCGTCGTCTGTCTGATCGTTCCGGGAGGCTGCAGCGTCCACAGCGCCCTGCTCCAACGAGATGCGCTCCATTCTTTTGCTTTGAGTGAATCTCTACAACAACAACAACAACAGCAGACATGAGACAGTGAGATATTGCACAAACAGGAATAATACTTTGAGCTTTTTGAAGTGTGTGGAACCAACCTGCATGCAGTTTGTAAACATAACACAGACGGACATGAGTTTGGAGAAGATTCGCAGAAGCTCCGGGTTGGTCAACATACAGTCCTTCAGACAGTTGTCCAAGAAGCTGGTGTGATGGTGAAGGACGTCATCGATGTTCGACGCCTAAAATGAATCCTTTAATTAACTGACATTTATAACCATTATACAGACGTTATATATACGAGGTTCTGGGGACAGTGCTAACCCGCTAATTTGACAAAGCCTGATCAGGAAGTGATTATTGGAACAGCTTTGCTCCTACTTGTCTGGCTGCTGATAACTTACATTGAAAGTTAGATGCTTACCAACTCTAAATACTTAGTGATTAAACAATAAACATGTTCCTGGTGTTTTATTCTGATATTCTCTTTGTAAATACACGTGACAGATAACTCTGTCCTTTGGTTTTGAGCCGACGATGATGAGTTGTGGTTCTGTAGCAGCGCAAAGTCAATGGAGCACTTGAATAATTAAAAGTGGTTTGAAAATGATTCGAAACACTGCCAGAGGCTATGTTTTTGGTATGTGTTCGAAGACATGCGGTTACTTTCTGAATGAGCCGCTGTCTGTTTGCGGCATTCCTTGGGACTGTGGTTAAAACCTTTCTGTAAATCTTATTTTATCAAAGTATTATTTATGACTTTCGCCATGTTTTTTTAAATGAGCAGCACATTAAACTTGAACATAGCCCATTAGACTCAAAGCAATCCAGGCCTGTCCCCGTGATGCCTCCCAGCTGCTCAAGGAAATCACCATTAAGTCAAAAAGACGTGAGAAAAGGACATTGAGGCAGTAAATCACCGTTTTGAGGTTCTTCTCCATCACGTGCCACGTCGGCTCCATCACCTCGAACATCATATAGTACTGAATATTCTGCACAAAGTTTAGCATCCGCTGCCGGAGAGCAAAGGAGGCAGCAAACCTAAAAGACAAACCAGTAATGAGTTAGCATTTCTCTGCTGGTCCGCTGCTGTGAGACTATGGTGGCATTGGTTTAGTGCCATTAGTTCCTGGTCTGTACAGTTCAGAAAGTACACATTTGATCATCCATAGTATCAGAGCAGACTGCGAAATGGACCAGACTTATACTATATCAAATTCTTATTTTAGAAAAAGTCACCGCTCTGTGAGAAATAACACATCTAAACAGACGTCAAGTTTATCTGCTTTGTCTTTTTATATATTTACAGATGTGTAGTAACCCATTATCTGTGTATTTTCTACTGCAAATGTGTACATATTCACAGATTTGTATATTCCTGAGTACTACATGTATATCCAGATTATTCTATTCTCACAAATATAATATTATTATTATTATTTTTATTTTCATTGCTATTTTATTGTGGAACACTATGCAAGCTACTGTGACAACGCAATTTCCCTTGTGGATCAAGAAAGTCTGTCTAAGTCTAAGTCTAAGGTTCTCTGGCTCACCATTTACCACAGTGAAGAGAATACTGCTTGAAGTCCTTGTTGCAGATCCAAACATTACAGAGCAGCCTCTCCACGTGTTTACAGAAGAACATATGTCGAAACAGCATCTGGTATCTGGTCAGGGCTTTCCTAGGAGACAAAATCACAACGACGCATTTATACAGGAACTGCGGGCCTGTACTGGGATGCTAGTGTATGAATAAACCGAAAAGGCCTTATTTTTCATCCACAGTAGAGAGGTTGGGCAGTTTGTGTGCTTTAAGAAAGATGGGAGATAAACAGGCATATTATCTTTACCAAGTTTGCCGTTAACAACAAAATACGAATGGTAAATGTAATATATACATTGCCTAGGTCTATATTTGATCTTGATACTTCTTCACGTGTTGAGGAAACCCAACCTGTTAATGATGAGAGAGAGGGGCCATTTGACAATATAATCAAATGAGAAAGCTTCCAGTCCACTTAGGGTTGTATCCGCTGCCTCTGTGTTGATAATGGCCTTCTCCTGCTTCGTCTCGATGGCCAGAACTCTCAGGAGCTGCGTGATGACGTCATTAGGCATCAGGTCGATCTGGAGGGGTAAGAGAGCGGGGAAGGAATCAGCAACTCTTTAATAATGGAAGTAAAAGAGCTATGTTTTATTCATGCCTGCTTTGTGTAAGTGGCTATTACATGTTGTACTCAGTGTGTATCCAGCAAACTATGTTATTTGACACCAGGAAATCAATGTACACTTTAATAATAATAATAATAATAATGCATTGGTTTTATATAGCACTTTTTGGACACTCAAAGACGCTTCACATGTTATTATTCTGTCACTCCATACACAGTGGTGATAAACTACTACTGTAGCAACAACTGCCCTGCGGCACACTGACTGAAGTGAGGCAACCGTTGTGTGCCATTGGCCCCTCCGACCACCACCAACCATTCACACACACACCAGATTAATTCTAGGTAATGTGGGTGAAGTGTCTTGCTTAAGGACTCAGCAACAGTTTGGCACTGCACAGCCATCACAGCACTAACCAGGCCCTGCCCTGCTTAGCTTCAGATGTGTGACAGGATCTGGCTTTCACATATTCCACAACTTTCAATTCTCACAACCATTTCGTTTTTAGTCTCCAGCATTCTCTCTTGCTAACCACGCATAGTAATGTAAATTAAGTCCATTCTGTCTCAAATGATGTTGTATTTTTTTTGTTCACAACTGAAACTACCAACCTTAAGATCGTCTTTGAACGGATCCGTGTTTGCGGTGCTCATTCTCAAAGCCAACTCCAGAAGAGCTTCGAGTCGCGGCGGAACGATGTCGTCCACAGGTTTCTTCAGCTCCTCCTCGGTCAGGTCCATAAAGTGCACGAAGAAGTCTCCTTTATCCATCAAGAAATAGTGCTTGATTGACCTGGAAAACAATGTGGGTGACCAGGACGTACCGGCAAAATGTTGAGCAAAGATTGTAAAATGGAAACAAGTTATGAAGTTTGTACCTAAGGCGTGATACCAGCTCCTTCTCTTCCAACAAGAAGTCGAGCAGGACCTTGCTGGCGTAGTAAAAAGCCTTCTCTATCTGCTCCACATAGGCCCGCTCTTTAAGGGTATACAACACTTCTTTTGCGTCGGGACAGGTCACATCGCGCCCACACTCGCGCACCACGTTTAGATACTTTCCTATAAAACGCACAACACATATTCCACTGAGTAATGTTTGTTTTTGTTTATGGTAATGTATTGTTTTTGTATTACCTGTACTTAATATTTTGTCGGCCATTTTCTGTAAATATGAAGGTATTCTATGCTGCACAATGGTGTATCTCTGATCCCAGTATTTGTCGTTATAGTCTTCTTGGATTTTCTCTTTCTGTAACTCGTGCTCTTCCACCATAAACTCACTGCAAATGACAACAAACTTAACTATTATATGTGACCTATAACTACAATGTTTATAAACCAAATAATCGACCTGTATGGATCCTTGATAATGCCTCTGTAAATCCACTTCTCCAGAATCTCAAAGTACGGGACACTGGCAGCTTTGGTGAGGTACAGACACAGTTCTTGGGCTTGGCTGTCCCCAGTGTAGTTAAAGGTCCTGTCATGAAGCAGGGTCAATGTGGAACCACCCATACACTCGCCTTTGTCCACTGAGGAAGCTAAGGGGAAACACACATATGGAAAATACTTAATATTAACTCATTTGCAATACATACCAAAACTACACTGCTTCTCAATCTCTTTCAGTGGCATCCCTCTTTAAAGCTGGGGTACCTAACCTTCAAGTTCAAACACCATTTTCCATTGGGACAACAATATAATTTATTGTGTTATTTATGAAAAACAATTAGACCAAAGTAAAAAAAAAACTGTGCCATCAGAGGGATTCTTGAACTATTGTACTGAATTTGACAATAACTTTTGTTATCATACTTTTCTTAAAATAATTGAATGATATTCAGATTCAGAGAGCTTTTCTACTTCAAGACCTGCCACAGTTTGCCCCCTGGTGGTTCCAATAGAAATAGTCGCATCAATGTTTTACCAATAGAGGCCAGTATCTCCATGGTCCTCATGGTGGGCTGGATGTAGAACCACAGTTTCTGCAAAGAGAGCAGGCCTTGATGCAGGAGGTGTTCCAACTGAGTGACTAGGATCAAGTACTCCTTCATCAGGGTCCTCATCGCTGCAGTCAAAGCATGATTCACTTGTCCATACTCAAAGGAGGATTTTTCTTCAATGAATCTATTTGTAAAAAGTTAATTTACAAACCTATCTATATGCAAGAGACATAATAATTGACATATGTTGTACCTTGTTACAGTGGAGTAATAAGAAGCCACAGGTAATATTCGGCTGACCAGCTCTTTGACAGACATGTCCAGAGTTGGGTCCACAATAAATGAGCGGTTTTGTCGTCCGAGCACAGGCTGAGCAGTGATGTCTCTGCCGTCAACTCCACTCAGCACAAAGAGCAGATCTTCAACTAGGGCTTGTTCTTGAGCCGCCAGAGGCAGTGTTCCTGGACATAATTGTTGTGACATCAATAAACTCAATGAAATCAATACATTACTGTTGGTTCTACAATGTCCACATTTCCAGGGCTTCAACCTTCCCCCTATTTTGGCTTCTGTGCATTTTCATAAACTAAAATATAAATGCAAAAATGTTTCATAGCTATTGTATTACATGTCTCTATTCAACTCCTAGCGCAGTGAAACAACCATAGAGATATCATTAGGTGTGAACTCACCTACTGCTACCGGTGGCTCTCCTGTGGAGGTGGAGCCTGTGATGAAGTCTCCAATCAGAGGCGGACGATCATAAACCCAGTTAGGAAAAACAGGGTTGAGCTGTGTAGGATTTTTTTTGTTATGTCTATCTCTGAGCATTTTCCGTGTTACTTCAGCAGGCTGCAGAGGCAAATTCTATTTTATAGAAATGCATAACAGATGTATAATAGATGCAAAACAGGGGGGCTTACCATTGGGGCATTAGCACTGGCGGTCACATTACCAAGTTTCTTTCGTAGCTCATCCAGCTCTTGCATGGACATCTTTGTACTGGTGTGAGGAATTGAGAAACTGGTGGTTGTGGTTGAAGTTGTGTTTGCAGAGGACTCTGCTCTGTCTTTGACATTCTGCTGCAGTGACTGAAGTGTCTACGGTAATAGTAAATATATAATGTAATTACATTACAGAGGAAGTAATCAAACAAAAAAAGCTTAATGGTATGAGCAAACTCTAAACCTCTTTGTCTTCTGATAGCTTGGACAGAAGATACACCAGAGGGTCAAGGTTGCGAACATTTTTGGATTTGAGCTCTTCATATTTTCTCAGAAAATCTTCGGGCGTTTTGGAAAACTCTGCCAGTTTAACCTGCATGAAAACAAAACATTTATTGAGTCCTTGACTTTTGACTCTGAGCAGATAGATGATGGTTAATGCTTACTTTGGCACTGTGGGTAGAGACTGTGGTGGTGACATACGGAGTCCTATGCTTCTGCAATAAGTCAATGTAGCCTTCTGCCCCATCACCACCGCGCACATGAAGCAGGCTGAGCAGCTCATTCACATCGTGGTGTATCCTGAACTCACTCATCTTAACTGTGGTGACAGATCAAAACAAACACACAAGAACACTAGCTAGTTGTTACCAGTAAACCCAATGAGTAAAAGGCCAACTTGTGTGCATCACGTCAGACAAGAAGCTACACAGTATGCACATATTATAAGGCACATATTATTGCGCTATAAAGAGTGCATCTTCCATCGTCAGCATCCATTCAGAGGTGGTGACGATCGGAAGCTAACAAACGTTAGCATAATAGCAGCTAAATGTACAGGAATGTGGACGTCATGCTAATTATGGAATGATCCTAACTTAACAATACTGCGATGGTTCACCAGAAGCGTTTGCCTACCTGTCAAATGTTCGCCTCCCCAAATACAGCGCTATGACACACCACACACCTGCAGAATCAAACACAAGCCGCGCAGCGCTGACTCTCTTCTTCTTCGGCCCTGAGCCGTCAGAGCGCGCGGTGCTGCCCCCTGCAGGCGCACTCCAGTCCTGGGTAAAATGATCAAAATACATCATTAACACGCACAGCCCATGCTAATTAGTTGTGTGATCTTTTGTGGTATGGATGCGCACTTATTTTTGGATTAATAACTTGTTGTGCTCCTTTTATTTTCCACATTCACTTCGAGATTTTATTTTAAAGCTCCATGACATAACGGAAGTAAACATTAATCACGTTACAACCCGGAAGTATTGTCCTTCTCTGATTAACGTTTGGTTTGAAAAGACGAGAATGGACAAATCTTCTTGAATATAAACGGACAAACACGATGCTGCCAACATCGTGGAGTATTTAGCTACATTTCGGTCTAAGGTTTCAGGAGAAAGAAGAAGGCAGTCGACTGTGAGTAGCAACGCCCTGATGACAGCCTCTCGTCCGCGGAAAATAGCCTCGTTCTGTTTACACTTTTGATCGACATCGTTCCTCTGCCTCTAACGTTAGCTTCTCTTCTTTGACACGGAGCGATCATGGCTGAGCTGCATGTAGTGGAGCCGAGTGCTGCAGGGACCATAGAGCAGAGCGAGCACCGCGACGTGAGGGGCTCTCTGCGCCTGGCTTCACCCACACTGATGGTTCCCCAGCGGACGAGCCAGCTCAGCCCCGGAGTGTCCAGTAGCAGCAGCGGCCGCTCCGTCTTCGGATTCCCGGTCAAAAGCAACCCCAGCTCCCCTTCTGAACCCGTAGAAAAGCCAGGATCCCGCTGGGTTCGCCTCAATGTGGGTGGTACATACTTTATTACGACCAAGCAAACGCTGTGCAGAGACCCCAAGTCTTTTCTATATCGACTCTGTCAAGATGATCCTGATCTGGACTCTGACAAAGTAAGTATTGACCACAGGTATAATAACCATGGTCCAAGGTTTCTAATCTTTGAAATGTTTTCAAATAGCATTGAAAAAATAAATTAACTCAGTGATTAATTAATTTGGTTATTTGTATATTATTTCAGTAGGTTGGGAATTTTCTTCTTGAATTCATGCATCTTTATTTCTACAGGATGAGACCGGAGCCTACCTAATTGACAGAGATCCTACATATTTTGGACCCATACTAAATTACCTTCGACATGGAAAGTTGATCATGGACAAAAATTTGGCAGAGGAAGGTAATGCTAAAACAATTCGGGAAACAGTGATAGCAATTTTGATTTGACATTGTACAAAATTTGCTGTAAATCCTTTATTATGTGCAGGTGTACTTGAAGAAGCAGAGTTTTATAATATAGCCTCTCTGGTGAGGATGGTTAAAGAGAGAATACGCGATAATGAGAACCGGACATCTCAGGTAATCAGAAATCTACTTCATGAACATTTAAATAAAACTTTTATTTTTTTAAATATTATTAGTATTATTGTTATTGTTATTATTATATAATATACATAATGAATCCCTCCGCAACATAACACTGTGTGCTCTGGTCCCTCAGGGCCCTGTGAAGCATGTTTATCGAGTGCTGCAGTGCCAAGAGGAGGAACTAACACAGATGGTCTCCACCATGTCGGACGGCTGGAAGTTTGAGCAGGTGCACAGCGCCAGGCCTTTTAATCATGTCGTCTTCTAAAAACATATCTGCTTTTGAACATTTCCTTTCTGCCTTTATGTTTTTAATCCTGTACTTCTGCTCTTTCAGCTTATAAGCATCGGCTCATCCTATAACTATGGCAACGAGGACCAGGCAGAGTTTTTATGTGTAGTTTCCAGGGAACTCAACAACTCCACCAACGGCATTGTCATTGAGCCCACTGAAAAGGCCAAGGTAAGAACCCTGTCCCGTTTCCCACTGTTTCAACATTCAACACTTTTTTGTGTAACATCTATTAATAATCAGTGTAAGCTTTTAATAATTAGTTGATAAATACATTAAGTCATCAATTACATGTTCTGTCCACAAATAACTCGTAGGTCTGGCATAAGCCTCCTGCACGGCAACCTCGCTCCTAATTCTGTGTGGAGTGAGGGACTAATGCCCCAAAAAATAAAAAATAACGTACTTACTTAAATGCATTTTATAAAAAGTCTGATTTATAAAATATAAAACAGACTTTCTGTGATAAATAATATTTGAACTTACTATAATCTATTCCCTCTTAATGAGGGATATTATTCAAAAGTCTGAAGTTTGTTTTGTGTCTTTATGTTGACACGTTCGTCTGGTGAAAAGCCAACACAGGTCTAACCAACACGCCACAAGTGTCCCACGTGGTCAAATGTTTTAATTATTAATGAAGAACTGTTCGGGGGAAATTCAAATCAATGTTTGTTTCTACTTTATGAAGACAAAATGATTTACTTCTTCCACTTCTCGCCTAGATCCTTCAAGAACGTGGCTCACGGATGTAAAGAGACCAGACCCAGAGCTAAATAACACTTTATCAACACAAAAACATCACGGACATCTTCTGAATGAGTTTACTTCCCCCGTTCACCAACTCCGTCGTCCTCGTCTCTTCTGTTGTGCCTTTTCACAGCGGAATTGAACCATTGTCTGTGGACGGTGAGCTGTGAGGACCACTCTGAGGGGAGGTGGAGCACTTTTTCTTCTTTGCGGCTTTTACGGTCAGTGTCTTTGACGAGTCCAGGCTACGGTGCTAGATGGTAGCCCCTTTGTTTGTGTTGGTGGAAGCACACACTCAGAGCTACTGTCATCCTCCTCATCATCATCATCATCATCGGTATCATTATTATCACTGCACTTTGAACTGAACGGACGCCTCTCTCATATGATCGGCAATGGTAACTTAAACTACTCCTCAGGATTTAAATGGACTTAAAGGAATGAAGACTACTCCACTGACTGAGCCGTTTTGTGTTTCAAACGGAATCGGAGAATCGGCAGCAGATGTTAAAATGTCACGTTTTAACACGGCCTGTTCTCGCTCAACGCCCCAGGCCGAGTTCACCTTCACACAAAACAGTCCGGAAAAATATTCACGGTTTATTTGATGAGGGTTCGACTTCTTCTTTTTAACGAGACGATCAAGAAATGACATTGTTTTTCAATTTCCACACGTGTAATGTTGAAAACCAATCACACAAAAAGACAAAAAAATGTCAAGGCATGCAAGGAATCTATATATAGTCTACACACGACGGAGTTATGAGAAATGAATGCAAATGGCGTTTGTTGATTTCTGTATCATAGTCATGCACCATGTAACGGTGAGAAAGTTTATTTAAAAGAGATATCAGTTACTTTGTTTCCCACGCGGTGACACAGAGGTTATGTACGCAGTGCCTCTCTGCTTCGTACTTTTCAAAATATCAAGATCAGCTTCTTGTTGCTGTTACTGTGACATCCCTAAAACATTTACAGTGCATATGACGGCTGATCTTTTGTGTTTGTGGTGGTTAATACCGTTGTACCATTTCATTATGGATGGAATTATCTTGTATGTTTGTCGCAACTGCTGCAGTAAAATTATACACTTTTTAAAAATGAGGAAAAACACCAAAAAGGTCAAACTAACTTATGTTGCAATGTTAAAGATATACAGGAGGATTTATTTCTACTTCCGGGTGGATCATCAACACTATTGGTCCTCCAAGTTGTCAATCATTCTGGTGATACATGCTCGTCCAATGAGATCAGAGCGTTTTGTGGAGAGGGCAAATTTGGGCAAATCCTTCTCTATCCTCTCAGCACATGTTGAGCTTTAGTGAATCCATGGCAAGGCAAGTTTATCTGTATAGCACAATTTCATACACAAGGCAATTCAAAGTTCTGAACAAAATAAGAAGGCATTAAAATCATAAATAATCACAGTACATTAAAAAGAAAGATACAAATATAAAATCTCTCAGTTGTATGCACAGCTAAACAGAACTGTCTTAACCTGGTTTTAAACATTGTCAGAGAGGACAGTCTCACATCTTCAGGAAGATTGTTCCAGATTTTAGCAGCATGAATCTGAAAAGCAGCCTCCCCATGTTTAGTCCTGACTCTGGGCACTAACAGGAGTCCAGTCCCTGTGCTCCTCAGAGTCCGGGCTGGTTCATATGGGACTAACATGTCTCTAATATAACCGTCATATGCACTTAAATGTCCTTTCTTTCATGATAACTCAACAGTTTAGTTCCAGGGACGTTGTCTGACTGTGCGGTTTGTCTGAAGCCTCAAAAACCCGTTCTCCCCCTGGCCTTGTGCGGAGCGGAGAGTTGCATTCACCCTTTTACAAAATGTCCATATTTTTTGCAGCACTTGTAGCATAAAGAACTAAACAGTGCTAACGGCAGCACAAGTTGTAAAAATATTCTTTGCTTTTTATTGCACATTTAACATTGCATTTATAGCAACATTTCTTTCACCATTTTTAAAAACGCCACGTGCAAAAACTAAAGCAAATCAGCAATAGACAATATTACCATAGTTCAGTGTGTGTCACCGCTTACAATGTTGTTCTAAATGTAATTCTCTTTCAGCATGAACAAAATACTAATCTTTGCTGTTCCTTCGGTCCTATGTTGAATTTCTGGAGTTTTGTTGCCTTTTTCTGTCTCCCGATTATTGTGATTATTTGACTAATCATTGGTTTGAAAAGAGGAGCGTTTCCCCGTCGTCTTTAGGCCTTCAATGCACCTTTTTCCTGCATTTCTGTCCAGTGTTGTGCCTTTTGAAGCCTCTGTATCATCTGGTGCCATCAAAAGGAGAAGAATATTGTCCATATCATGTCTAAATACATCGGGCCATATCACGCAGAGATAGACATTTTTCTAATCATTCACCGAAACTACAATATTCCATGTGCCAATGTTTTTGACCAAACTCGACTCTCAGATGAAAGACTGCAATGATCTTAGTAACATTTCAACCGTTTCTGCCACACTTTGGTATATCTTGAGTTGCATGTTTGTCATCGCTATTTTTAATGTTGACTTTAAAAGCACTTATTGTGAATCCCGTTTTCATCGCCTAAACTTTGTAGTGATGACAAAAAAACCAAACCCTGTGTGTGAACTTTTTAGTCGACTAAAATGTGCAATGTTATTAACCAACTTGCAAAAAATATCTCTTTCTGGCACGTGAAAAACACGAGAGCATGCGTTGTTCAAGCGATTATGGCGTTTCGTACAGGAATCTGTGGACTTTGGTGTTAGTAAAGCCAAGTGAATGTGATGCATGGTGGGAAACTGGAGGCATGGCTCTGTGGTAGGTGTAGAAATAAACGTGATGGTCGACAACTGTTCTCCAGCCACGCGGTCTGTGGTGTTTTGTAGTTTGAAAGTGGCTGAGTCAACCATTTCAGAGCCCCTAAGTTCTGTTTCTTTTCAAGAATTACCCACTAAAAGATTTTAGATCCATGGATCATTTTAGCAGTTAATCTATAAACACCTGCATGCGTTTGTGAACATGCACACTTCTAATACACTCATTAAGATGTATTAAAAATGTCTTAATTATAAACAGTTGCTTTGTCTTCATTTATCAACAGTATTGATGTCAAATGTGAATATTGTCAATGGAGAAGTGTTGAGAAGCTGACCAGAAAAAAACAAAAACATTGTGTCCAATTGTTTATTTTATTTATTTTATATGGTTTGGATTTGTCTACCAACATTGTTTCTTTTATGTACCAATTGAACAGAACTTGAGTCTGGTTTATAATCATAAAGTGTGTCTGTGTTTAAAATACTGTTGTCTTTTTTCTTTTGCAGTTCTACAATCATAATGTACACATTCAACTGTTTAATTACAATGTTATACACACACTTCTCAGAACTAACAGAAATAAACCAATAATATGCATTTATATATATATGTTTTTTATATACATATACAGAAGGGGTGCAGAGAATGTGGGCTGAATGGTTACTTAGAAACCCACAGTCACAGTTGACCCCGAAACAACCAGTAAAACACGAAAAGCTTGAAAAATACCAAGGGCTCAGAGAGGAGCAGGAGAGGGTCTGGAGGGTAAAGAAGACAGTAGTGAGAGAGTCTGGAGGGTAAAGAAGACAGTAGTGAGAGAGTCTGAAGGTAAAGGAGACAGTAGTGAGAGAGTCTGAAGGTAAAGAAGACAGTAGTGAGAGAGTCTGAAGGTAAAGGAGACAGTAGTGAGAGTCTGAAGGTAAAGGAGACAGTAGTGAGAGAGTCTGAAGGTAAAGGAGACAGTAGTGAGAGAGTCTGAAGGTAAAGGAGACAGTAGTGAGAGAGTCTGAAGGTAAAGGAGACAGTAGTGAGAGGGTCTGGAGGTAAAGGAGACAGTAGTGAGAGAGTCTGGAGGGTAAAGAAGACAGTAGTGAGAGAGTCTGAAGGTAAAGGAGACAGTAGTGAGAGTCTGAAGGTAAAGGAGACTGTAGTGAGAGAGTCTGAAGGTAAAGGAGACAGTAGTGAGAGAGTCTGAAGGTAAAGGAGACAGTAGTGAGAGTCTGGAGGTAAAGGAGACAGTAGTGAGAGAGTCTGAAGGTAAAGGAGACAGTAGTGAGAGAGTCTGAAGGTAAAGGTGACAGTAGTGAGAGAGTCTGAAGGTAAAGGTGACAGTAGTGAGAGAGTCTGGAGGTAAAGGAGACAGTAGTGAGAGAGTCTGGAGGTAAAGGAGACAGTAGTGAGAGAGTCTGGAGGTAAAGGAGACAGTAGTGAGAGAGTCTGGGGGTAAAGGAGACAGTAGTGAGAGAGTCTGAAGGTAAAGGAGACAGTAGTGAGAGAGTCTGAAAGTAAAGGAGACAGTAGTGAGAGAGTCTGAAGGTAAAGGAGACAGTAGTGAGAGAGTCTGAAGGTAAAGGAGACAGTAGTGAGAGGGTCTGGAGGTAAAGGAGACAGTAGTGAGAGAGTCTGAAGGTAAAGGAGACTGTAGTGAGAGAGTCTGAAGGTAAAGGTGACAGTAGTGAGAGAGTCTGGAGGTAAAGGAGACTGTAGTGAGAGAGTCTGAAGGTAAAGGAGACAGTAGTGAGAGAGTCTGAAGGTAAAGGAGACAGTAGTGAGAGAGTCTGAAGGTAAAGGAGACAGTAGTGAGAGAGTCTGAAGGTAAAGGAGACAGTAGTGAGAGAGTCTGAAGGTAAAGGAGACAGTAGTGAAAGAGTCTGAAGGTAAAGGAGACAGTAGTGAGAGAGTCTGAAGGTAAAGGAGACAGTAGTGAGAGAGTCTGAAGGTAAAGGAGACAGTAGTGAGAGGGTCTGAAGGTAAAGGAGACAGTAGTGAGAGGGTCTGAAGGTAAAGGAGACAGTAGTGAGAGAGTCTGAAGGTAAAGGAGACAGTAGTGAGAGAGTCTGAAGGTAAAGGAGACAGTAGTGAGAGGGTCTGAAGGTAAAGGAGACAGTAGTGAGAGGGTCTGAAGGTAAAGGAGACAGTAGTGAGAGAGTCTGAAGGTAAAGGAGACAGTAGTGAGAGAGTCTGAAGGTAAAGGAGACAGTAGTGAGAGAGTCTGAAGGTAAAGGAGACAGTAGTGAAAGAGTCTGAAGGTAAAGGAGACAGTAGTGAGAGAGTCTGAAGGTAAAGGAGACAGTAGTGAGAGAGTCTGAAGGTAAAGGAGACGGTAGTGAGAGAGTCTGAAGGTAAAGAAGACAGTAGTGAGAGGGTCTGGGGGTAAAGGAGACAGTAGTGAGAGGGTCTGAAGGTAAAGGAGACAGTAGTGAGAGGGTCTGGAGGTAAAGGAGACAGTAGTGCCCGTGGTGATGGTGCACTCGGGGCAGTGACCCCGAAGATGGAGTGGTTTCAGGGGATCCCTGGAACAACCTCGGACATCTGGGTCCAGAAGTGTGCAGTGCTAGGAACAGCAAAGATACTGCACAGAACCCTCAAGCTCCCAGGCCTCTGGTGAGGACCCGGGCTTAGAGAGGGATAACCGCCCGCGGAGGGCGAAAGGTGTAAATATATATATGTATATTTATATATATATTTTTTTTTTATCAAATTGCTTATATTTTGTTGACAATGCAGTGATACATAGAAAAGTACACATCAGATGCATATCCAAATCAAGGACAAACTTCATCATATCATATTTCTCTAATGCAGTGGTTCTCAAACTTTTCACACCAAGTACCCCCTCAGAAAATACTTGCCTCTCCAAGTACCACCACAAATGACCAACACCACACAGTAGCGTAGTAAGCCGAAGTATTCATCAATAACAAGGCAGAGGTTTCATTCCTAAAGAAGTATATTTAATGTAATATTTTACACAGTTTCAACAGTAAGACTGCGCTTAAATATAGGAAAACATTTTGTTTTAAATGTTTCATTCATTGCAAACTGCAAAGCCTCACTGTGAGTGATATTCTGGAGTGGGATCTTTGTCCACAGAAGGTTTGGACACTGGTGCACTTTAGTTTCTAAGGCTTGGTCTGCAGCCCTCTGACATCTGCCCTTTACTCACAGAGACATGTTCTCATGGTTTGGATCAAATGATCGTTTGTTGCTCTCTGTTCCTTTTGCACAAAACTGGGAAAAAAACTGCTCCTTCTACATGGAACGTGTTGCAAAAAGACTAGAAATGATCTGATCTTATTTCCTTGAATGCTTTTAGATCCAGATTGAGACATCTTCAGTGAAATGTAACTGTTTTTATAATCCGTAATTTTATGAAATTGTGTGTTACTGTTGTATAATCTGTATGTGACTGTTTTATCATCTGTATGTGACTGTTTTATCATCTGTAATTTTATGTAATTTTTGTACACGAAAAAGAGGTTCTCATTGACTGCCAGCCATTTTTTGATGACTTCACTGATTTTTAAGACTCACAGAATATTGTGTGCTATGAAAAATATGAAACCAGAGTCTGAAAGACAGGACTGTCTACTTTCATCAGCAAAAAGAAGTTTGTTCTTAGTTTGTTTCGTTCTCCTGTGATCTCCAGTCGAAAAGAGGAGAGTGTGACAAAAAGCACAAGTCTTAAACAAAAAAATTAGAAAATGAGGTGTTTGTGAAAACAGACAAACCTGCAGAAAAGTGATTGTAAAACTATTTAGTTTAACTTTAGCATCTCCTCAAACATGTCCAGGATCTTACATGTTAGAAAACAGCAACACGTTTTGAGAAAGTGTTTTTAATGTAAAATAATAAGTGTTATGGCACACACACATCCACAAAGTGTTGCTCAAAAATTTCAAAATGTACTCATCCAAAAAATGTCAAAATGTACATATTGAAAGTAGAGCCCATGGCAAACTATGCCAGATAGAATGGCCAGTATTCATCCATTAGGTGGCACTATATTTATGTCAATAAGAGTAAATCAAAGAATAACACAATTACAATGATAAACACTATACATGACAATAAATCAAAGTGAATACATATAGTATAAGTGCAATAGAATACTGCTGTGTGTCATTGTGTGTTTGGGCGCGCATGTATGTGCGTTTATGCACGCGTTTGTGTGTTTTTGTGTGGTTACATCTACAGAGCGTCTGTTTAGTCCGGCGTGCGCTGTGACCATATCTGGACTTTGCTGCTGGCTCCTGGTGTGGACTCAGTGATAATTTTAGCAATAGTCCACTTTTCTGTGGCTTTTTTGAGGTGCTCCACTGGTCTGCTGTCCTGACCCTCCACATGATCTGCTGCTAGGACCCTCCACATGGTCTCTGTCAGCTCTGGAGACACATTTACTGCTCAAACTGTCTCCAAATGTAGCCTGACCCTGACTATATTACTCCATGTCTGCTTCACCTCTGTCTCTCCTGCTCAGAGTGCTCAGAGTGATCTTTGACCAAACCAGGGAGTTCTGCTGCCACCTGCTGGCTTAATAAAATACTGTCTACAGCCAAACCCCAGACTGTATGATACAGGGGACACAGACTGGAAAAGACAGGAAAAGATTGAAAAACAATGTTGTCCTCAAATGACATCCATGGCTGTCAATGAGTTAATCTCAATGGGACTTTCCTGGTAAAATTTAAAAAAAAAAAGTTTGAGAAACCCTGCTCTAATGTACCTTCGTACATTTGGCTCGTGTTGTTTACGTCTGTCAGCGGGAATGGGGCAGGCCCAAAGACCGGGGCCAGTACCCCCTCCCTCCCTCCCTCCTCCCCTCCTCTCCCTCCTCCCCCTCCTCTCCTCCTCTCCCTCCTCCCTCCTCTCCCTCCCCCCTCCTCCCCTCCTCCCCCTCCTCTCCCTCCTCTCTCCTCCCCCCTCCTCCCCCTCCTCCCCCTCAGTCTCCTCCCCTCTTGTTTCCACAGTCCCTCACACAGCTCAGGCCGACAGCAGCAGCTCTGGTCGCGGTCATCGATGGACCAGGGACCGCGCCTCAGTCCGAAGGGACGCGCCGTGCCAGCCCCAGTGAGCGGTAAGAGAGGACCGTGTTTCAGGTTCTGATCCAGGGATGGAGGAGGAGGAGGCTGAGAACCTCTGATACTGAAGAGCAGCGGGTCCGTACATGGCGGAAATGTCTGCAACTAAGCTCTGGATGACATTCTGCTGCATCCATGCAGTCTGAGGTACTCTCAGTCTGAGGTACTCTCAGTCTGAGGTACTCTCAGTCTGAGGTACTCTCAGTCTGTGTGATCAGAGCAGGGATCACCTGAAATCTCTCCTGTTTTCCACGTGGTGAATGTGAGGCTGTTCTGAGCTGCTGATGTGACTGACTGTGGATGCATCTTCTGTGTTTCATAACAAGTTTATTTTCAGCTATAACTTCCTTTGCGTGATTTGCGTCGTAATCAAAAATGGTGTATCCTACAGCCGAGTAGCACTTGACAATGCTGTAGTTGTTTTTATTTCATATTTTTAAAGCTTTCAGACAGACATCAGTAACAGGAGCACAGAGTCCCTTTCCATCAACCTAATGTGCAAATATCTCTCTGTGAAACAAGTCGCTCCTGTTGCCTTCAGGAGAATATTGTAAAAATCCACTTGGCCCATTTCACAGTGGGCTGCATTCATTCAGGATGTTCACAGAAGAGTGTGGTAATGGTCACAGTATCACAGAATGACTCAAGTGACAACATGCACGGCTCTCTGCTTCTGTCGGTGCCCTCTCAGAACCACCAAGAGCCTCTTTGACCCAAGTCTGCCAAAGACAGAGTATGAAGGGACATAGAACACATACTCTGACTCAATCTTCCAGTTTACACTTATTCAACTAAATGCATCTGACGACAACATGGGAACCGCCTCATTTACCTCAGATATAATATATCTGTTAAAAATGTATATAGCAATTCCTATCTTACTATTGGAAAGGGGAAGTTAAAACAAAAAAGTGATTTGTATTTTTTTAATGTTTCATTTTTGTTAATGTTTTTTTTATTATACTAGGCCGTGACCCGTGTCTCATAGACTCAACTATGTGGCATTTCAGGTGGACCCAGGTCGGTGCTATTTGCTCGTCTCTGAGAGAACAGAGTGTTCCAAAGGCTGGTGTTTATAGGACACCAATAAAAACATATTTTCATAATCAAATAGTTGGGCAATTATTCTTTCAATTTATCTTAGTTGTTTAAATTGGTGAATTGAGTATAGGATTTTTGCAAATTAATTTGACCATAGCGTGATCTATTTGATTGTTTAATAAAAAATAAAAAAAAGTCTTCTCGGCATGTTTTGGTGCAGGTGTTACGTCGAGCCGCGTTTCCCCGTCAGATACTGTTTCCCCTGCGTCTACGCGCCGCTCCCGCACCTCGCACGCGGCAAATAGTGCGCGTGCTTGTTCAGCACTCGTAACCAGCGAGCCGTGCTTGCGCGGCGAGGCAACTACAGACACAGTGAAAGCACCTGAGTGAAGTTGGCCCCTACCCCACGCAAAACTCAGTGAAAAATAGCCACACTCGTTAGTGCTGGTTTGTGCAGAAAAAATATCGTTTGTGCTGTTTTGGTTTTTCAGGTATGACAACTTTATATTAATATAGCCTATATATATATATAATATGATATGACAAATAAATAAATAAATATGTATGTATGTATGTATGTATATATATGGGAACGGTATTTGATGGGGGTTATTTGGCCATCAGGATGCGTTTCCCCTGTTAAACATTGAGGGAACGGTATCTGACGGGGGTAATTTGGCCGTCAGATACCGTTTCCCCCGTTTAAAACTGAGGGAACGGTATCTGACGGGGGTTATTTGGCCATCAGGATGCGTTTCCCCTGTTTAACACAGGGGGAACGGTATCTGACGGGGGTTATTTGGCCATCAGGATGCGTTTCCCCTGTTTAACACAGGGGGAATACATGTATATATACACATGATAGATAAATGTATTTATATATATATATTTGTGAATATATATATACATTATATATATATATATATATAACAGCCTATATATATATATATATATATATATATATATATATATATATATATATAGGCTATATATATATATATATAGGCTATATATAGGCTATATATATATATATACATACATACATACATACATACATACATACATACATACATATTTATTTGTCATATCATATTATATATATATATATAGGCTATATTAATATAAAGTTGTCATACCTGAAAAACCAAAACAGCACAAACGATATTTTTTCTGCACAAACCAGCACTAACGAGTGTGGCTATTTTTCACTGAGTTTTGCGTGGGGTAGGGGCCAACTTCACTCAGGTGCTTTCACTGTGTCTGTAGTTGCCTCGCCGCGCAAGCACGGCTCGCTGGTTACGAGTGCTGAACAAGCACGCGCACTATTTGCCGCGTGCGAGGTGCGGAGCGGCGAGTAGACGCAGGGGAAACAGTATCTGACGGGGAAACGCGGCTCGACGTAACAACGGTACGGTTCAAAAACTGATGAAATGTCATATAAGAAGAACTCTTTCATAAGTTTCATTAGTTGCAATTCATGGATGCAAGAACTTTCAACCCACCTTCTACTTTTTCATTATTATTATTATGTTCAAGATAGAGATTTTATACTTGTTCTCTGATGCTAGTTAGAGGTTTAGTTTTATTAATATAGCTATTGTTCACTGATCTGGTCTGGTTCACTTTAACTGCTCAACAGATGCTCAAGATGGCGCCGCCCAGGGCTGCTATGGTGACGACTTGTGTTGCGTTCTGTTTGTTTGTGTCACACGTTTCGTGCGAGCCCTCCTACACAAGAGAAGAGCTGCTGCACATTTGGTGTTCTATCCCACTGGATATTGTACCAACACTACTCACCCGATCCACGGATGTACTGGATATTCTGCTGAGGGGGACAGCGCTCTTCGCCAGTGCTGTACGCTGGACCAGGAGACAACGAGGGAAGCGAGGAGGTTGTCTGGTTCGCCTACGGCGGAGAAGTTCGCGTCCACCGCTGCCAGGAATATTCCTCTGCAACGTGAACTCTTTACCCAATAAAATGGATGAACTCCGGCTGCTTGTCTCACGGGAGAATGACTTCAAATCCACGGCTGTCTTCGCGTTTGTGGAGACGAAACTGACGCTGTCAGTCCCGGATGGGGCTGTACTGCTGGAAGGTTTTTCCGCGTTTCGCTCGGACAGAGACTTCGAGGCGGCGGGGAAGTCGTGTGGAGGAGGTCTAATCTTCTTTGTGAATGACTGCTGGTGCTCTGATGTGACAGTGTTGCAAAGACACTGCTCTCCTGCAATTGAAACGCTTCTCATCCTCTGTCGTCCATTCTATTCCCCCCGACAGTTTAATGCGTTCCTCCTTGTGTGTGTTTACATTCCTCCGGACGCTGACGTCACCGCAGCAGTGGACACACTCGCAGAACAGCTGTCGGGGGCGGAGCGCAAACACCCGGACAGTTTTGTTGTGGTGCTTGGGGACTTTAACCAGGCTCATCTGAGTCGGGCTCTCCCCAAATACAGACAGCAAGTGACATGTGCTACTAGAGGGGGAAATATTCTAGATCACTGCTACTGTACCATCCGTGAGGCATACCATTCTGTCCAACGTGCTGCTCTGGGCAAGGGTGATCACCATCTCATCCATCTGATCCCTCGCTATAGGCAGAGATTGAAAATATCAAAACCTATAGTGCGTAGTTTCAGAGTGTGGTCCAGCGAGGCAAGTGAGAGACTATGTGCCTGGCTGGAGAATGCTGGCTGTGACCGGGACTTTGTTGTGTGGGCGGGGCCTGAGGCTGGAAACAACCTGGATGAATACACAGATACTGTGACATCATTTATCAGCCTCGGCGAGGAGGTCTGTGTCCCCCTCCGCCACAGGAAGATCTACAACAACGACAAGCCCTGGTTCTCAGCCCATCTCAGAAGGCTGCGGTCAGAGAAGGAGGTGGCCAGGCGGAGCGGCGACGTGGCCCTGTTTAGGCAAGCCAAATATGAGTTTGCCAAAGCGGTGAGGGAGGCAAAACACCGCTTCTCGGAGAAACTGCGGCGGCAGGTCTCTGAGGGGAACTCCTCCTCTGTCTGGAAAGGACTTAAAACCATCACCAACTACAGGCCCAGGTCCCCGCAGGCATCTGACAACCTTCCCCTCGCCAACGAGCTCAATGAGTTCTACTGCCGCTTTGAGAAAGATAGTTCCCCCCCTGCCCCCCACCTCCACCCATCCCGGCCACAACCACTTTTCTCTTTCTCCCCCCCTCCCCTACCCCCTCTCACTGTCACAGAGAGAGAGGTCAAACTGTTGTTCAGGAGCCAGAACCCCCGGAAGGCGTCCGGCCCGGATTCTGTCTCCCCCTCCGCTCTGAAGCACTGCGCTGATCAGCTCGCCCCGGTGTTTACCAACATCTTTAACACCTCGCTGGAGCTTGGTCAGGTCCCCGCATGCTTCAAGGCCTCTACCATCATTCCCGTCCCCAAGAAGGCCAAGGTCACAGGCCTAAATGACTACAGACCTGTCGCCCTGACGTCTGTGGTCATGAAGGTCCTGGAGCGCCTTGTCCTGGCCCATCTGAAGCGAATCACTGATCCTGTGCTGGATCCGCTGCAGTTCGCGTACAGAGCCAATCGCTCCACGGAGGACGCCGTGAACATGGCTCTGTACTACACCCTTAAACATCTGGACACTGCCGGCTGCTATGCCAGGATCCTGTTCGTTGACTTCAGTTCGGCTTTTAATACCATCCTTCCACCCATCCTAGAGCACCAGCTGTCCCTGCTGCAAGTTCCTGCCCCCATGCGCAGATGGATTACGGACTTCTTGACAAACAGGTCCCAGCGGGTGAAGCTGGGGAAGAGCATTTCCAGCTCTAGGATCACCAACACCGGTTCCCCGCAGGGCTGTGTCCTGTCCCCACTACTGTTTTCCCTGTACACCAACAGCTGTGTCTCTCTCCACCCGTCGGTCAAGCTCCTCAAGTTTGCTGACGACACCACCTTGGTGGGCCTCATCTCCAAGGGGGATGAGTCGGCCTACAGGAGGGAGATCGAGCGGCTGCGTAACTGGTGCAGCAACAACAACTTGGAGCTGAATGCTCTGAAGACAGTGGAGATGGTGGTGGACTTTAGGAGGGACCCAACCCCGCCTCCTCCTGTCATGCTGGGCGGCACTCAGGTGGAATCTGTCCAGTCCTGCAAGTTCCTGGGGATAATTATCTCCAGAGACCTCAAGTGGGAATCCAACATCACAGCCCTCCTGAGAAAAGCCCAGCAGAGGATGTACTTCCTTCGTCAGCTGCGGAAATACAGACTGTCGAGGGCCATGATGACCCAGTTCTACTCGGCCATCATAGAGTCTATCCTCACTCACTCCATCATCACCTGGTTCCCCGCTGCAGCTGCGAAAGACCTGGTCAAGCTGCAGCGGGTGATACGCTCTGCGGAGAGGGTGATTGGCCATCCCCTGCCCTCCCTTAAGTCCCTGCACGACTCCAGGGCACTGAGGAGGGCGAGAAAGATCATGGCTGACCCCTCCCACCCTGGTCACAGCCTCCTCACCCCGCTCCCCTCTGGGAGGAGGATGCGGCATCTGGGGGCTAAGACAGAGCGCTACAAAAACAGTTTTTTCCCCTCAGCGGCCAGGCTGCTCACTGACGCTGGTTTCCCTTCTTCCCTTGCCCCCTAGGAACAAGGACTGAACACTATGGCACTTTATTACACTATTCTATTTATATCTCTTGCACTTTTTGTTAAATTATATGTGAAAAAAAAAAAGATGAATGCACACTGTCATGTTGCCAAGTCAAATTCCTATGTGTTTTGCACAATGGTAAATAAAGTAATCTGAATCTGAATCTGAATCTTGTGCTGCGTGCTCCTCATTCCTAATCTTCTATAACTTTTTTAATATGTTTTTTTATTATTTTTATTTTGTGGATGTGTCCTCTGCATCAGGTCCACCATCAATTATTCACAATATTCCTAACCTTATGTTGTATGTTGCCCCTGGTGCAGATGGCTCCACTGCTTTCTCAACTTGTTTGATCATGTGAGGGTGAGGTTGTGTGAGAGAGCGGCTTGAGGACATTTTAATGGCAAAGTTCATCCATTCATTTGAGACGTCCAGTCATTTATTCATAACTTTTGTTTACTCCATTTGCAGGCCCTCTCAAATGTGCTCCCAGCTGCTGTGTCATGGAAACCCCTGTCCATTTATCACCCGAGCTACATAGCTAACACTGGGGTCTGACCGGGACTGCTGAGCTAAATATGACCCAAAGAAATGGAGTGGGTGGGGCCAGAGAGCGCCACCTACAGGCTGAAGACTGTCCCAGCGGTTTGGAGACTGAGGCGGAGAACCAGGCTGAGAAACCGGGAAGTGAGCATCCGCCAGCTCAGGCTGCTGTAACCGGAGATGAGGCTCCGGACGGCGGGTGGGGCTGGGTGGTCCTGGCCGCTACCATCATGGTCCTGGCCTTAACCCTCGCCTTCCCGTCCTGCGTGGGGATCTTTTACACCGACCTGCAGCTGGAGTTCCACGCATCCAACAGCGAAACCTCCTGGGTGCCGTCCATCATGACCTCGGTGCTGCACGCTGGAGGTACACTGTCAACGCTAACACAAAAAGACACAGAATCAGAATCAATTTATTTGCAGAAAAAATGACATTGGAATACAAACAGGAGACACCGGGGGCACCAACACCACAAGGCACACACACACAGACAAAAAGAATAAAAATAGCTAGGCAAGACACAAATAAAACTCTTAAAAGCAGTATTAAGAAGCGACGAATGCTACACTGTATAAACACCATGTATTTATAATATATACACAAGTATTTGATTTGTTATGTATAGTTCCCATTTCACCAAAAAAACAATTATGCCATGATTATAACCTATTGCATCATCGTACAAAATGTTCAAACGATCTGGTCAATACTCATTTGAAAATACTTTTTACAAATTGGAACCATAATCTAAATCCTGTAATACGGGTCACTAATGTAAGTTTCAATCTAGTTCGAATACTTGTTTTGGCAGCAATTTCTTTAATTTTGACAAACTAGTAACTGAACAACTTTCCTAGTGCTGCACAAAATGAATACTGCAAATGTATGTGTGAAAAGACTTAACGGATTAGTTGGATTCATCGGCCTAAACTGGTTTGTGCTGACTTGGATTGGCATAGTTGTGTTTGCCCACACATAACAACTGGTCTGTACTGACTTCAATGGGCGTTTATGTTTGAATCATGAATAAGGATAGTTCACCAGTGATAGACCTCCTTTTATTTCTATATTTCTTGAGAGACTTTGTTGCTTGGTTGGAACCTCTTTACCTCCTAAAACAGTGCTGGGTTTGGAGAGTGCAGTCCTCCTGAGCAGTATCATTTGTCTTGGTGACTGAAAAGGCATTAGTGTCTCTATGGTGCTCATGGGGTCTATCTCCACAGTAATGGCGTCTGCTTCCTGTGAG